GTGCAACCAAACATAGAGGTACACAATTACATATTATATAGCGGTCCCATACACTAAATTTCACCATTCTGAAGCTACTCGTTTTTGACTTATGCAAGATAAATACATACGTACAGACATCACAAAAAAAAAAAAAAAAAAAAAAAAAAAAACTCTTCTGAATCTACTTTCCAAACCTTTTTGGAGCAAAGTTTCATTCTGTCTCTACGTATAAATGTCACGCAAAAGCATCGTTCAAATTGATTTGAGAGCGGTCAAAATGGACATTTGAAAAACCCGAAATGTTTCGCGATTACAATACTTCCTTCAGTTAGTACAAGGAAGTAAAAAGAAGAAACTGATATACGGTCAACGACTTCATATTTCTCGTTGTATACGGTACACTGCAGGGAAAAAGGGAGGCAGTTCTATATCGCCCGTTCTACTGGGCCGATTGACGAATTTCAAATTGCGTTTTCTATGTACTGAAAGCGCGACTTAGGATATATATATAGTATTGTTCTAACATGGATTTTGACACCAAATCGGACTTCTGATTTGGTGTCATTCTGAAATGATGTGCCAATTTTTTTTTTTTTTTTTTTTTTTTCATTTTAGGTTCTACAACTCAAATTATGCCTAAATATTAAATTTTGTAAAATTTGGTGCGAAATTTACGGAGAAATTTAAAAATTTATTCTGTCGTATATTTTTTTTCCAAGTTTGGGCCAAGAATAATTCACTTAACAAACTTCTTAATTTATGGCAACCTGTTTTCCTTTCCCTTTTTACATTGTGTATGTGGGGGGGAAGTTACATATGAAAACATTGCAATTGCAAATTCACTTTTAAAGATCAAGCTTAAAATAAGTCATGTTTTTCCTGATAATGAATTTGCTCAAAGTTTTGTAACATGGGCACTGCATGGAATCTCAGATGTTTTAAAATACGTCGGCCATACATTGGATGTTCGTGGTAGCAATGAAGATGTGTCATTTCAAAATCTCCGAGATTCCATGCCTTATAACCACATAGCAAAATGTCAGGAACTTTCATCATCAGGAAAGCTGAAAAAGAAATCATCATCAGGATATTGAATTCCAAAAATTTGTTTCTCTTACTGTCTCTGATCAGCTGAAGGATGAACAAAGATAAAGGAATGACAAGCCAATAAATAACAAGTGGAAAAATTATTTCTTTAGGTGAAACTTTACATTATATGTACACTTTCACAACAAGTGCTCAAAGTTCTGACTGTTCACATCAGGCTTCACAATGGCCCCTCATATACCATGGTTTTCAGTGTTCCCCCCAAGAAAAATCCAAGCTAGATAAATTAGACGACTGTGGTGGCCATAGGATGGGTTCTCCATGCCCAATCCACTGCTCTGCAAGCATATTGTTCAAGTAATGCCGTATGGGATGAGCAAAATGAGCTGCAGCCCGATTGTGGTGATACCACATTGCACGTCGAACAGATGTGGGAACGTTATAAAGTAATTATAGCAGTAGCTCCTTCACAAAAGTGCATTGTTTTTTACCACTCAACTAGGGTGGTAAAAGATACGTTCTGATTAAGTAAGCAGCAATAATACTTATCCATACATTTACAGAAAACTGTCATTGGGCAGCATGTGGGTGCATACTTCATAAGCTAACGTGGTTCTACGCATGAGCATTGTGTTGGCTGAAGATCCCTTCATGACAGAAAATGGCTTCATTCAAGAAAACAATTCGGGATGGAAACACCGTACTCTGGTTGCACTGATCCACATACCATGAATTCCACATGGCGGATAATCCGCAAGCTATTTGACTGAACCAACTGCAAATGATATGAGTGTAAATATAAATTGTGTAGCTGCAATATCACCAGCAATAGTTCATGTGCCTATACCCAAAAGCTTCTTCCACTCGATGCAATAGCTTGTCTTATAATGTGTACATGTCATTCCTGGCTGCTTTGTATCATGTTTGCTCTTGCAGAATGTCCCGCATTCATGCAGGTTATGATAAAAATTCACAAATATTCCGTAGTTCGGCACACATCTGCTCAGGTATTGTTCGGTATTGTATAACTGCAACAGACATTCCATACAGTGAACTTCACCATTCAAGATGCACATCTGCAATTTCCATACTTGTAAATTGCTCTATGCTTTCCATATGCAAAGGGAACTTGAAATGACTAGTGCTGCATTTGAACTACTGCTCCGGCAAACCCTGCCCTCAAACAGATAACCAGCATCATCAAAGGTGCAAAACTGTAGATGATAAGAACAGAGCATGTAACCAGAAAACTTCGGACAACTTCACTATCGCAAAGGTCGTAACTTATTTTACACTTATGGTCTTTAAACATCAGTATATGATCATGAAGTATTCATATTTTTTATCCTAACACCTCTGTGGGTGCCGCCGACAATTTTCCTGTGATAGTCCCTAATATTCCCCCTATCTGGTTAAGACTGCATTGCTATGAGATTCTGAGTCATCTAGGTGTACCTTAACCCTATTAGAAGTTTATCCATTTTGTTTTGAATCACCTTGTATATGACAGATGCCTCAGTCACATCAATCATATCTTTAACACAACTTGAATTAGCCAGCAAATTTCTGATTCAAATAATTACTTTGAAATCTAAATTTTTATTTATTAGTTCATGTCTTCTAACTTTGAAAAGTAATATACTGGCAAATTTGATTTCCCTTTGTATTTAGATTATATAATATTTGCTTTCCTAGTTGTATCTAGCCTATAAGAAAAATATGCAAAATACATTCTTGTTCTCAGCCGCCTAGACGGTATAGTGGTTAGGAGAGTTGACTGCAACACCAAAGAGCCCAGGTTCGAATCCCAGAGAAGGCATGGCTGTAACTGTCTGTCCCTTCATAGGAGGCAAAGGTGGCCCACCTGTTAGATGATCCATAATAAAGTGACCCCACTGGCCTCAGTAGTGGCCAGGCCGAAGTTGGCCGAGGGCCAGCCATTGGTTAAAAAAACATTCTTGATCTCAGGCCTCAGATCTATAGTTTAAGACCTTGTACAGTATTCAAAACATTCCTAAACATCAAGGAGGGTTAAAATATTATATGTAAATAAAATGAGAAAGCAGATAGTTAAAATTTTGCAATTTAAAAAATTTCTTTTGATCAAAATACAGTCATGTCTCAAACTGCATGCAGGCTGAACCTGAAAGCAGCTAAGTGATGAAATTTTCTTTAAAAAAAAAATAAAACCAAACTTTAAACTTAATTTTAGATTTCACTTATGAATTGAAATTTAACTTTCTTGTACTATATTAGACAGCTCACAAAATTACATATGGTTTACAACACTTTTCATAGCAATCACAATACTATTAATATATTTATGTGAAACCAAATAAACAATGATAATAGTTAAAAAAGTACTAAAATGCATTACAGATTGCCTTTAACAAGGATTGCATTGTTAAGAGACAAAATTTCTTTTTTTTTTTATATGGCCACTTCTTCAAAAATTAACATATTCTCTAATCTCCACACAGTTCCCCTATAATCAAATTTTATTCTAATACATTACATTTAAATCATGTTTGTGAAATTTTTCAGAATAAGTTTCAATAGTTGTCAGGAAAATAGCTAAATATGGTACACCTGTACACTCAATATACTATTACTACATCTTATATAATATGTACAATAGCTTGGTAGAATATACATCCAAACATATTAGTTGAATTTGATAATTATGTTTTGACTGCTGGAATTTGATATTTACTTTGATTGCTTTCTATTTTATCAAATTTAATTTGGTTGTACATGCATCACAAAGGGTGTTAAAAACAAACTGCATCATTAAATATTTCTTAAGCAGCTTGCTCTAGGCTCCCAGTTGTAGTTTAAGACATGAATCTAGTAATGAAAATTTCAGATATATGAATGGCTTTTAATAAATACACACACACACAAAAAAAAAAAAATCAGAATTTCTGTACAAATAAAACAAATTTTTTATCAGACGAGGGACAGGAAAACACAGACTGTCATTCGTAATACTAGCATGGAAAACAGTTATCAGAATTACCTAAGAACTGCTCAAAAGGCCTTGACAAGGCTGAATTTCATTAAATTCGAAATTCAACATTTTAGCCTCTCTATAAATGCCTGTTTGAAATCGATGCTTAAAAATTAATTTTTCCTACTGAAAAGGTTAAGAAATTTAAATTTGAAAGGATAACAAGCCTCTCTAGCATTAGCAAAATTTTAATTATTGGTACTAAAAGAAATTTTAAACACATTAGAATTAATCCCTTTTAACACTTTAAAGATGCATTATTGTTTTCAGTTAGCATGTAAAACGATGCCTTGCAGAAATAAGATTTGTAACCATGATAGTAGCTTGGAAATGTGGTTTGATGGGCTAAAAAATAGAAAGAATATAAAAGCAACCATTTATTTCTCATATAGCATGTTGCTGTAGCATGAAACAAAACATTATTTTCTACATGCCCTCAGAGTTTTGTCGTTAAGCAGAATGTAAGATCTTTAATTTACATTTCAGATTTAATCAGATTAACAAATTGATAAAAATTGAATGATTTAAAAGGAATGTTGCCACTGTACAAAACAAATGCCCATTAATTTATTTTCTAAATTTAATCAATCAGTTAGTAATTAAACATATTAAACAATTTTAAAAAAATAAGCACACTTCTTCATAATTTAAATCTTACTGTTTTAATAATTTATTTAATGTAAAATTAAATGCATTTAATTTAAAATATATCCAAATACTAATTTTAATGAAAATTTGCAGCTGCGTTTAGCTAAAGATGTTTCCGAAAAGGGAGTTACATAGCTACGGTACAAGATCATCATTAAAAAAAAAAAATAATGATAACAATGTTTTTACATTTTTTACCATTAAAAATTTTTTAACTGCAACTTCTTAAATAAAAAAATTTAGATATTGCATACAAGTTATTTGGCAAGTGAAAAACTTATATGCATTGAATAAATGAATCATTTACTAACACTTAATTTTCATTTGTTTTATTTCAAAAGCGCCTCTTTCCACAGAAAAAGGCTTTAAGTACAGTCAAGTAATTTGATGGTTTTACAATATATTTAAACATTTCTCTTTAAACAGTTTTCATTCTAAGCAATTATGCCTATAAATATATATTATGCCTTATTGCATTTAAAGTACTTTAAAAGTTTAAAAGCACTAATCATGACAACATGATAATCTCATTTGAAATATATTTCACATTTAAAAATAGATATGAATTAATAAAGACTTTGCTCATAATTAAAATAATATCATGATTCTTCAAAAGTAAATGTATTTTACAAATAGAAAAACATAAAAAAGAATAATGTTTGAACACAGTAAATAAAATATTGTGGTATATATCTGTAAATATTCAAATTAATTTTGTTGCAATTGTTGTATTAGTTATTTGTTTTGTATTTGTGGCCACATATTTTTTATAGATGCCTGTATATGAAATTGTTGATTTTGTTCTTAGAGAAAGCAGCATTCCAAATGTTGGATAAATTATTGCTGTTTTAGTTGTGATTCAGCTGTGAGATTTAGCTGAATTGTGAATTTACTTTGCAATTGATTCTCGCAATTGCCAACATTTCTCTCATACTAATGAACAATTTTTTATATCTGCATTCTGCTGAAGATGTCTAAAAACAGAAAGAATCTAAAAGCAACATTTATTTCGCACATAGCATGAAACGAAACATTGTCTTCTACATGTCCTTGGAGTTTTATCATTCAGCAAAGAACTTACATTTCAGATTTAATGTGATTAACAAACTGATAAAAATTGCATGATTTAAAAGCAATGTTGCCACTGTACAAAACAAATGGCCATTAATTTATCTTCTAAATTTAATCAATCAATTAGTAATTAAAGAAATTAAACAATTTTTAAAAAAATAAATGCTTTTCTTTATAATTTAAATATTAAGATTTAAGTCATTTACTTTGTAATTATTTTTTATAATAAATTGCTAATTTCTTCTTGATATTTGAAGTGATCATTCAGAGAGATATCATTGAAATGGTAGCCCACAAGAATATTTACAAATACATAAAAACATAAAAAGTCGAAAAGAAGCACCTTAATAGTCCTGTTTGATACAAAATATGTAGCTTGACTTGTGTACCAATACAAAAGACTAAGTAAAAAAAATATAAATTTATATAACTTTTAACATAACCATCTTGCACCCCCCCAAAAAAAAATTATCACACTAAAACTGAAATTAACAAAATAAAAAAACATGTTCCTAAAATGATACTCCAAAGTTATTAATAAAACAAATTGCTTTGGCTGCAGGCTGCCCATCTGGCAGGCGGGCTTGCCCACTAGTATCTAAGAATTTTCATGCTGCTATTCAAATAACAAAAGAATAAAAAATATTATTTAATCAATTATTTTAAATGAAGTCTAGACAATATTAAAAAATTCCTTCCAATTTTGATTTGCAGAATCCCTAGGGAAGTTGCATGGAATTTTAAAATCCCAGGTAACACAGCTTGAAAACCAATATAAGTTACACAATTCTACTGAATAATAATTATAATAATAATAAAAATGCAAGTCAGTTTAGTTTATTATCATTTCAGGAACATTTACAAAAATACAATATAAATTACATTATTCATTATTTCATTCATATTTCTTTTTAAAATAAAGTGACAACGGCATTTCTGAAAATTGGACATAATTGAAATAGATGGCAAACCCAATAAAGTGAATGACAGAATACATGCAGTTTAGAAGCACGTGTAGATGTGGGTACCTACGGGGTTGCTTCACTGTGAACATACATACAGTGAGAATGATGCTTCCCAGGATGGAACAGCAAAACTGCAAGGGAAAAATATGTGCACTATTTTATAAAGATGCTGATACATGACTGAAAAAACACAGTATTGTGATAATATTTGATTTAGTAGTATTGCAACACTTTCAAATTTTGTGGTATAACTGCATCTATAAAATGTTTGCAAAGAATTTTTAGTATGCAAATACAAAAAATAATGAGAGAAAAATAAAATGCTACATTAAATACAGAATACTTAAATATATTTGTTAACCCTTTCAATTAAAAAAAAAAAAATCTGATGTGTACAACACATGACTTGTACGGAATATTAAACTATACGCATTTTTTCTTGCATTTCATTTAAACTTATTGGATTGAATTAAATCTACTTCACCAACAGCGCATAGACCACAATAGAATAAATGCATTCTTTAAAATTCACTCTAGTATTTGTTTACCATCGTGACACTCTGGCGCTAGATTCACTTAACAGTATTATATTTCGTTCATATTATAATTCATAATGCACAAAATTTATATCATTTAAATAATAGAATTATCTAATGGTTGCCACATGTTCTCTTCAAATACTATAATAAAGCTAGAATGATGTATAAAAGAAATTAAGGAAACAGTTTTTCACAGACGATTGAGTATTTCTCATTCAATTAATTCAGTTCTCACTTCGCAAGAAGGCAAAAATACATAAAAACTCAAAATATCTATATTAAAAATTACGAAGTAAATCTTAAACACTTATTTCCTCGAAAAAATTCCAGAAAGGATTAAGCATGATTTAATTTGAAATAATAAATGAAGGCGTTATCTTTGTTGTTACGAAGCTAAGTTTCTTTAGATTGGCAATAAATCAACTAGTCTGCTGTTTCAAATGTAAACAATCAATGGCCGCCATAAAAAAAGGGCTTAGCGGCATTTAAACAACTTTAAAATTGTTGATAATTCTAAAAATATTGCATAGAGATTTACTAAAGTCCAAAAAAACCTTAACCGGAAAATACAAACAACATAATTCAATCATTTTTAAAGCAAAAACGTACAATTTATAAACATATACGAGTAAAGAAACTGAGATCACTGAGCCGGGTAACAGAGTGGATATATATATATATATATAAATATATTTATATATGTTTGGTGCGGCCGATTGCAACCAAAATACGAGGTGCATATCTGCATGTTATAGCAGTCCTATATACAAAATTTCAAAGTTTTGAAGCTACTTGTTTTTGAGTTATGCGAGATACATACGTACATACGAGGGCCATCCAGGAAGTAGATTACGTTTCCGTCTGTGTCCGCTAGGGGCGGGGCTAGCGCGGCCATCTTGGGGTCAGAGCGTTGCGCAGCTCAGTCTGCATCTAGCCGTGCTAGTGAGAGGTTCGTGCTGTGCTCCGTTCAGATACTGTGACGGTTTGAAATGTCTGCGTTAATTGAAATCCCGCGAGCTGCGCTCAGTAATAAGGTTTCTGACTGCAAAAAACTGTAAACCGATAGAAATCTATCGGCAGCTTCGTGAAGTGTATGGGGACAACATTATCACTGAAGGTGGAGTGCGTCAGTGGGTTGCAGCGTTGAACTTTTTGGACGCTTACCATAAGGATGGTGACTCTTTACTCGATCGCATCGTTACTGGTGACGAAACATGGGTGAAACATGTGAACTGTGAAACGAAATTGCAATCAATGCAGTGGGGGCACACAAGTTCTCCCCAAAAACCCAAGAAATGCATGCAAACAATGTCGGCAAGGAAGATGATGGCGACTGTTTTTTGGGACAGAAAAGGTGTAATTTTGGTGGACTTCCTGGAAAGAGGCACTACAATAAACTCTCAAAGGTATTGCCAAACTCTCCAAAAACTCAGAAGAGCAATTCAGACAAGCGCAGAGGAATGTTGAGCTCTAAGATCTTGTTGATTCACGACAACGCCCGGCCCCCACACGGCAAATGTCACTCGTAAAGTTCTTGAATCTTTTAAGTGGGAGTTGTTTTCCTTTCCTCATCCGCCGTACAGTCCCGACCTGGCACCGAGCGACTTCCACCTATTCCCAGCAATGAAGAAGTGGCTGGCTATGCAGCGTTTGATGACGACGCACAGCTGCAAGAAGAGGTAACGAAGTGGTTGAAGGCGCAGGCGGCCGAATTTTTCGACGAAGGAATTTCCAAGCTCGTACATCGCTACGATAAATGCCTTAATTTGTATGGTGACTATGTAGAAAAGTAGTATTTGAGTGTGGCTTTCATCTGTATATAATAAAATTTGTTTCCTATACTTTGTTTATTTTTTTATTCCAAAACGTAATCTACTTTCTGGATAGCCCTCGTACATTCATACAGACGGCACGAAAAATTCTCTTCGGAATTAATTTTAAAGTAGTTTTGTAATTTTTTTGGAGGAAATGAGTCTTTTATTCTGTCCTTACGTACAGATATCATGCAAAAACATTGTTAAATTGCATTCGATAGCGGTCAAAATGGATATTTTCGCTGAAATATGCTGCCTGAAACTTTTCGCGATTACAATATTTCCTTTTTACTTCGTACGAGGAAGTAAAAAGTGATGTCAAATTAATTAGTAGGATTAAGTTCCAATACCAAATAAGCGTGATGTCACAACACACATACAATTTTCTTTGGGATTACATTTATATGCAAAATGTTTCCTTCAAAAAAGAATAAATGCAGTATCCTTTGGTACTTGGTTCTAAGTAACCTCACTAATTTTTTTTTTCCCTGTAAGGATTATAATTTTTTTTATAATCCTTACAGGGGAAAAAAAAAAAAAAAAAAGAGAGAGAGAGAGAGAATATAAGCTGATTGCTCTTTTTCATTTTTTTCTTTTGCATTTTCAGCAAATGATTAAATATCGTAACCTGTCTTCTAAAGAACAGTAAGCTGCAGAGCATTTTCAGAGTCCTAATACAAAATAGGGCACCATATTAAAAATATCGAAAGACTGAGTTTCGGCAAAATGGGGCAATCAAGAACAATGCAACACAGCTTAGTTCATACTAAAGTGAATTCATAAGATGAGTTCCCAAAGATGATGACTATTTTGTAGTTATTTTAGATGAATATCAGAATGACTGGTGCAAGTTTTAATGAAGCAAAAAGCTTAAGCTTTCATTTATTTATATGCTTTTATATGTTGTATCGGTGATTTTTATCAGTCAATTCTATACCGTATTTGCCGTCGTGTAAGACGCACATTTTTTCTTTGAAACTAGGTCTGAAAAACAGGGTGCATCTTATTTGCTGATACTGCGTCTTATATGTCGATACTTATTGGCGTCGACATGTCATTTATGAATGGGTCAAAGTTTCATGAGAAGATGTGAAAACAGAGACAGTGGTTATATCATTTCACAAGTGTGGCATAGTAATGCTCTGGATAGTACAGAGGACAATTTGTTGTATGAGGACTTGGATGCTGAAGTTTCAAGTGACTCTTCATTTAGCTCTGGAGATGAGCGTCTGGGTTTTGATGAAGGAGATTAGAAGGTGCTCTTTCCCAGATAGATCGGGTATTTGCAGAAAGTATTACTTTGTATTTAAAATACTGTAAATTCATTATAATAATCAGTTTTATCCTTAAAAAATGTGTATAAAATAGGTGTTGCTTCTTATACGCCAGTAAATACGGTAACTAAATAAAGAGCCATCTGTTCCTTCAAAATTCCATTAAAACAACTGGTGCAAGTTTGGTGGGATATCCGCCAACTTTCATGATCGATGAGGAAATATTAAGTACCAAATGCAGTTTATGTTAACCCAAAAATTTGATTTAGCGCCAGTTTTTACAATAGTACATCAAAGATATAAAATGAACAGTATGTACTTAAAGAAATGAGAAGCTACAATTAGAGCTAATTCATTTACACTGCGATATAAATTTTATTCAAAGATTTGAAGGTATAAATCTGATTGACTTTTATGACACTTGTCAAAAGATAAATACCCTCAGTACAGAACTTCTGTAGTCAGAATTAATCGCTCTGTTTGGGATTACATTTATATGTAAAAAGTTTTTCTCCCTCATAGCCAAAAATTAACAATAATAATAAAAAAGAACAGATTGACAGATAGCATCTTCAATTTATTATGAAGATAGTTTATAGTAATTTTTCTAAAAGGTTAAAATGTTATCAAAAATGAAATGCAATGAGATATTGTATCAAGAAATAAAGAAATTTATAATTACTTACATGCAAATATATGAATTTTTTCTGTATGCAAAGAAAAATTTAATAAATAAAAGAAAGAGAATAGGTTGTCATTGTTCATTCAAGTTTTGTCCCACTTGGAAAGTTTTTGTAATTTGTTTACTTTAAGTGAGTTATTTATTGGTTTATTCAACACATTACAATTATTTGAAAGAAATGTCAGTTTGAAAATTTATTATTTAACTATCGATACATTTGAATTATGAAGTGTAACGGTCAAAAATTTCTTGCAAATACCAACCTTTATATTTGAGCCAGAAGATAAATATAAACCAGAATTTTTGTGTTAACATTATTACTGTCTATGTATGCTTTAATAAATACTTTGTACACAAAATTTTAAATAAAACTGTTTAATTTCGGTAAAAAAATTTTGCCCACAGCTGTTTTTAGATCATTCATTTAGCCAGCATGCAATTTGGGTTTGAGACCAGTATTGGAAAACAGCAAGATATTACAACCACAAATGGATGCTTCCATTGATCCAAGAAAGTTAGCAGAGGAGAAAGGTAAAATGAGACTATTTGCATTCCAGCTGACAAAACAAACAGACAGTTCACAGAAACTGCAGAAGGATCTGAGCATGTTTGATAAGGTTTTAAAAACACACATAACATTGATATTTGTGCTGCATGTGCTAATCCATCCCCCATGAGCTAAATAATAAATTATGTATCCTTTGTTATTACACTGTATCACATAATTTAGTGTAAATTTCATTTGGGTACTCTTTTGTTATCGGGGGACCGTATTAAGAAATGCATGTATACATGCACATATGTATGTATGTATGTATGTGCACAGGGTGAATCTGAACAAGCAGGCAAAACTTTAGGGGATGATAAAAGGCAGCTATACGAGCAATACGCAATATAGTTCATATGGTCGGAACGCAAATGATGAACCGCTAGCTGGCATTGTAAATAAGTGGTACAGTACGAAGTCTTTAATCTGGACTCGTCGGGACTTTGCCGATTCCGGATTATAGATCATCAATTTAAATCTGGTAAGATGGCATGCAGAAATTATAAAATTAAAAATATGAAACCGTAATTTATGAAATAAGCAATTATATCTAAAGAATATCAAAATTTACAAAAAAAAAAAAAAAAAAAAAAAAAAAAAAAAAAAAAAAACTTAATATTTATTTGTTTACTTTATTAAACATTTCTTTCACTTTAAGTTGTTTAAGTTGCTTCGTTTTATGTGCTAATACTTTCTCTTTAATTTTATTAACATTAATAATTTCTTGTTCAGTTACAAAGTTCCACTGTTCAAGTCCTGTAATTGCTGTGTCGAGAATGCTGACTAACTTGTCAATCGAAATTTTTTCAGTTTCAATAACCTCTCTGTCACTTTCTTCACTATCGGAAGCGATACATCGAAACATGCTTTCGCTTTGTGGATCCTTTGGCAGCTCCAGAATCGGAAACACTTTTTGACATAATCGAAAGTTCAAGCTTACTTTTTATAAAATTGTTCTAACAGTCTTCAAAAAAATAATAAGCCGGATCCAATTAGAAGATTAAGGAACAACGCAATCTGCAAGATTAACTGAATAAATAATTAGATAATTTTAGCCTAGCTTATATCGTCCGTTATACATTAAACGTGCATGTGTAAAGGTATTATGTACATGCGCAGAAAGTTTGTAGCTTTGAGGTCTGGATTAAAGACTTTGTACTGTATATAAAAAGGGTCGATTCTCGCACCCAATGGCATTTTCTAATGTGGATTGCTGAGACGATTGCTGGTTATACGAACCACAAAATTTTCAGGGTGATGGATTGGTCGAAGTGGTCCTACAGCTTGGCCACACCAAGATCACCGGATTTCTTGTACTTTGACTTTTTCCTGTGGAGCCATATGAAAAGCCTAATCTACAAGTGCCCTGTTGAAACCAATACGGATCTAGTCGCTGGGATTGCCATTGATCGGGAAATGCCTGTTTTCTTCGCAAAGGTGCGTCGATCCCTATCCCGCAGGTTTTGAATTATGCATTACAGCTCATGGAAGGTCTTTTGAGCAATTTCTTTGAGATGTTCTGTTATTTCCTGAAGTATCTCCTTTCATTCTTGTGTTAATTCTTTAAATGTGACAGTGGAAAACTTCCCTTTAAATTCTCACCACTTGCATTCTGACCATACATTCTATGAGGAATATTGCCCGTATAGCTACCTTCCATCACCCCCTAAAGTTTTGCCCCTTTGTTCAGATTCTCCTTGTATATGTGCATATGCACACATACATATATGGATATACGTACATACATACATACATTTCTGAAACTGGTCCTGATAACAGAAGAGTACCTTCATTTGTAATGACAGCTCAATCAAAGCATGAGACATAGACAGAAATCTTTCTAGTACATTTTTGTTAACATTTTTGTGGCCAGTTAGGTGACACTTTAGAAGTTTCCAGAAAATACTTTTCTGAAATCCTAAGAGAGATCTTGATTTATCTTGAAACTTCTAGTAGTGCTTGGGTAATTTTATATATACAGTTACTTCAGTCAGTCAGCTGAATCAGAGTAGTTCAGAATTGTGAGGCTGTATTGAGCTCAATGGTTATTTACTGCTCTGTGACTGAGTTTACTGACCTGAGATATTCTTCATGTGTTAAGGAAAAATTTTTATCTGTGCTTTTCATCTTGAGCTATTTATAGTTGTTTAGCTTGTTGTACAAGATGTCATTTTATTCCACAGAAGTGTCAATGTTGCTTCTTGGTCACATGGTATAGTTATTAAGCAGATCTCTACCAATGCATAGCTTGTAAATATATATTACGGGACAAACATGCATGTAAACTTTTACAGTAAATATCAAGTTACAATTTCAATAAATTATTATTATTTTAAGCATATTAGGATAGATGCAAATTTAAAAATTCTGTGTGTTGTTGAAAAATGCATGACAACAAATAGACATATTTTCATAGACTGAAACAAAACTTATTATACATACCGCAAGACTAGCTATTGTTGACTTCTGATTTTTAAATGAAATCAATAGATCTTCGTAAGACCTTAGGGCCCCAATGAGAAATAAAACAGTCAAAGCAAAAAAAGGGACAATTAGTCCATCTTTCGCTAGAAGTGGAACCAAACTGAAACAAAACAAGAACATACTTTTCTACAAACAGAACAGAAACAGGAAAAGTATGCTCATGAAATTTTTACATGATTCAATAATATAATTAAGCTAATTTTACAGACATGTAAAAACAAAATATACAAAGAGATCAAAATGTTGTGCACAATTTTGTTGTTAGTAAGAATAGCAATACTAAAAATTACTTAATTTACCACCACTGTTTTGCATTTTTCATTTTTATAGATGTGTATCTCATTCACAAAAGAATTTCTAAAATGTTCTATCTTGCTATTCTAACTTTCAATTTACATTTAATTCCAATAACAAAAGATTCTACATTGAATACAGATGACCTATTAGATAATGATTATACGAGAAGTAAATTTACCTAAAAGTTGAAATGCAAGCAAACCAAGTACAAGCTAAAGGATGATCTTCAAACAGTAACAGAATAGCTCTGTAAAAAAGTGGGAGGCATTAGCATTTTTATGCAACCATAAATGCTTACAATTTGAGATAAAAAATAATACACTTAAGAGCTGTGGAGATTAAAATTTCAGATAACATCATTAAAAGAATAAATACCTAAAATAAAATAAAGTTTATAAAGAAACACAGCAGTTTTTAATCTTGCTTTTCTTTGTGCTTGGGATAAATTTAAATGTGTTTAAATGTTAAATATAAAAAATGTATTATTTCTTTAAAAAAAATATAATTATACGTTTTTTTTCATTTCTTGTATTAAAAAATTAAATATACATATGTATTATATATACACACATTACTTCTGATAAAAAATACTTCCAAATTTAATCAATTAAATGACTGAACCTGGCCAAAAAAAAAAAAAAAAAAAAAAAAAAAAAAAAAAAATTAATGACTGAATTTGGCAAAAAAAATTTACAGGCAAAAAATTAAAACAGGATTAAAATATACAAAAATTTGAAATCTCCACATTCAACATCATATGTTAACAGCATCAAAAACCTTGTTTTTCTAAAATTAAAGGTATGAATGATATTACTTGGGGGAAGAGTGAAGACTGTGAGTTATTCTACATTTTAAATTTTTGGATATTTATTATACTTAAATTTATTATAAAATTAATTATAATATTCTTATTTCAATATTAGAAAATTATTTAAACTTACTGCATTTTGTTTAGTTTAGTAGGGAGAATTAAAACATTTTCAAAACACCAAAGAAAGCATACAGATAGATATCTCCTCTTTTAGACCTCACATTTAAATATAATCTATATTCTTGGATAATTTTCAATTTGTCTCCCTTACATTTGAGCAGTTATAGTAACAGGGGTATTTCTGGGACCCCAAAAAATCCCCTGAAACTTTTACAGACTTACTACCAACATTTTGGAGTTTCAAAAAGGGGGGGAGAGAAATGAAAAATTACAATTATGAAGTATTGAATGACCTAATTATAAAAGTTCAATGAATTACTTTTTTTTTGCAAAATTAATAACCAACCATAAATTTTCAAACATATAAACTACTACATTTTATGTAAATATTTTAAATTACCTGAATTAATTCTTTAAAAAAAATTATCTAATTTCTGCTTTTGCTTTTTTTTATTTTCTGATGTTTGTGGGCTTGTCTTTCTTTTGTGGTGAACTTCATAATTGCAGGAAGGTTGACTTTATTTTCCTCATTTACAGTTGAAGAAATTTCCTCGAGAACTGCACATGCAGAGGTAGAAGCAGTTTGCTTTTCTGCTAATGTAAAAGGTTTTTCAGAGACTTTTATAGATGACTCATCTGAAATACATGTTTTTTAAGTCCTCTTGATATGTTTTCCAACTTCTGTTCATATTCAGTAAGAGATCTTTGTGAATTGGATCAGTCATTGGATTTTTTGAGCCATATTTTTCACATGAGGTTTCTTTAGAAGCCATTAAATCATATTTAATAGTCTGCACTGCATCTAGGGAATCAATCTTAAGAGAGGTTCTATAGTCAGTGACAAGTGTATCCATTAAGTTGAATGCACTTTCCACTAATGGGCCATGGAAGCAGCTAAGGCAGGCTTTGACCAAATTTAGCCAATGCAGGATACTTATAATCATTTGTGAAATCATTTTTTAAATTAAAAACTTTAGACCAATATTTATCAATTGTACACTTGACTTGATTTCCACTTTCATCAGATGTGTAGAGCATTTCTTTGGTGATATCAATATCACTCTGGTATAAACTTATTTCAGCTTCTACTTTTGACTTTTCATTATCACTAAAATATGGGACATAAAAGATGATAATTTTTCAAAAGCTAATATTGTACTGGTTTTACCTCTTAGCTCTGGATCTAATGCTGTAAAACTAATTAGATATGAATTTTTAAGGGGTAATTTCTGTTTCATATGCTGTGCTGTATTAGTATAAGCTTTCATCAGAGAAATTTGGAATTCTTTTGCTATTGGATGATTTTTTGATAATTTCTTCAGGAGAGTGGAAGCTTCTGCACCAGTAAATATTACTTTGCTAGGTAGATGGAATTCTGGATTTGTGACATCAACCTTTAATAAATCATTATAAGATGTGCACTCTATATTTTCTGGCTTCATAAAAAAAGAGAAAAATTTTGCCATCAATTTATAAATACTGGAATGTATTAAATGAAGCATTGGTTTTTTTGTTTCAAATAATTTAATATATGTGTTGAACTCTGGTAATACTGCTGAATATAATGCCATATGCAATAAAGTTTTGTTTTGCATAACAAATAACCCATTTAGTATTCTTTTTTTCCGAGCTAAAGCATCCTTTGTGAGTTGTTGGGAATGCAAGCAAGAATACACCCCTTCAACAATTTTTTTTTTTTTTTTTTTCTGAGCTGCAGAAATATTTCTTTTATTGTATACAGTTTCAACATAAGAAAAATAATCCCCTTTATCAGTTTTATCCAAGTAGTGAAAATAAAATGCAATAAGAGCATCCCACAGATCTTTGATTCTTTCTAAAACACATAAAATGTACACCCACCTATGGTCTGGTCTCTTCAAGGGCTTAAGTTTTTTAATGGCAAGGGATTCACAGATTTTGAAAAAATTTTTCTCTTTTACTGCAGCTTTTCATATCAAAATAGATGTCATCAAACAAATCTTCTAAGTATCTATCAAAACATGAAGCAAATTTTTTTGGCACAGTTATTAGCTGTGTGACATGTGTCACCATCAATATCTAATAAGTGGAGGTGCTTTTGTTTGATCGTAGTCTGGTTTCAACACCCTTTTTTTTTTTTTCCACGCATGGTGTTACATGAGTCCATTAATACACTAATTAAGTTTGCCCATGGAATATTATTATCTTCAATAGTATTAACAACTGCTTTAAAAAACAGCTTCTGAATTGCAAGATTCCATCTTTAGAGATGCAAAATGATGAACTACAACTTCATTTTGATTGTTGTCATAAAACTGCACCAATATTGCCAGTATACTTTCTTGAGCATTGCTAGTACTTTCATCATCAAATTTAGAGAAAATGGAGTCTCCTTTAAAGTTTTAATGATATTTTCCTTAATAGTTTTTGCGAGCCCATATTTCATCTTATAACATGCAGTAGTCCTGGACATTTCCAACGAGTTTAGTGCCGTCTGATCGCGGCTCAACTGTTTGCAGAGTTCAATTAAATTGGGAGCTACATTGAAAGAAAGAGAATTCTCGGCGATAAACGAAGTTATTAATACCTCTTGGCGTGCTTTTCTTGTCACTATATCCAATGGCCGAGCATCAGTCTCCAGTAAGTCATCAGTATTTTTTGAATTAGCATAATTACTTAAAGTCATTGAATGTCTAATGCACTTTGAATATTTTATGTGCGTCACAGTTTTAGAATGATTTGTGAAAGCCTTGAATCCTTCCCCACCATACTTCAGCAGTGAGTTACAAAAAACACAATATGCTTGTCCAGCAACATTTATTTTCTTGCACCATGTGCCGATGGTATCCCCATTACCATCTCTCCGTTCAATCCAATTCCACCTAAATGCATTCCGGACACACTTCACCTTCTTCTAATTGTATAATATCACTATTTATATCAAGAAATTTCACAGTGAAATTCTCTTGCGTACATAAATAAAAGATATTTCAATAAACGAAACGAAAAATTTACACGTGCATCAATAAATGAAACGAAAATTTTACACAGCGGAGGGAAAAAAGTTGAGAAGCGATCAATGACAAATAGCTAATACGGCAAAAAATCCCCCTTCTCTACTTATTGGCGCCACACCAGGAGAGATAAGACCTTTGAACCCAGAGTCACGTGATCGCACATCTGGTCGAACGAAGTCTCTCCCTTTTTTTTCTGCCGTGCCTACTTGCCGAAAAGAATCCAGAAGAGAATGTCTGAGAACCGGAGGAATGAGTCATAACTCGCAATAAGGAAAGAACAAAAAAGAAGTTTTTTCTCCCTTTTCATGCATTATCACTGCCTTTGGAGAAAGAAAGGAAAAGTTTTCACCACACACACTGACCTTGCATTTTCTGCTTTCAAAGCAAACAAAATTACCCAGATCAAAATAAATAATTCATTATTATTCCTACTTCCTTTTAAACGACGATCCCCGGAATTTCCGGGTATCGAAGTTCAAAATCCCCGGAATTCTGGGGTTTCCCCGGAGCACAAACACCCCTGTAGTAACAATATAATTGCATTTATTTTAAAAATATATAAACAATCAATAACACATTTTTGGGTACATTATGTAATATGTCTCAGAGTTGTTCCAGAATCATTTTTCCAGATTTTTCATTCTGAGTTATTTTATTACAACATACAATTTAGTTTGGTTTTGGTTTATGTGATAACGGCAAAGCCTAGAAGGCTATCTATCTTAAGGGGAGGGATGCCTTGGTGGTGGACTTTCTCTCGTATACACATTACACATGGGGAAAACCATGAAAATGTCCATGCAGTCAGCCCATTTGCAGGATTCAAAACTTGGAGGCTGAACTTATCAGTGTTCGACGACTTTTTCACTTGGCCATTGGTGGGCCACATATAGTTTAGATTTTTTTAAAAATCCAAATTATATACTTGGACAAAAGAGAATGTAAATTATCTAAAAATGTTTATTTAATTATTAAAATTTTCTTTTAATACATCATCTGAAATTTTTAGATTATTTACATCTAAAAATAATCTATATTTTTAGATGTAAATTAACTAAATTTCTACAAAGGGATAAAAATTTGATCGAAAGTCTAAATGATGGAGAAAATAATTGCAAATAAATCTCTACATGAATGAAGGTTTAAGCTTATACAGTCATTTTTTTAATAATAATATATTCCCTGAATGTAAAACAACAGCAACAAGAATCCACAGTGAAACTCCTCATTGCCTCATGTCTGTAAGGGATCACTATTTCTGAGAATGAAAATAAACATTAGTACTCAATATCAGCTCTCTAAGATGACCATCTCAACAGAGGACCAAAACGTTCTAGATCCATGCGTTAAAAGTTAAACTGTCTTAAAAGTTAATGCTGTTGATTTATCTTGAAAAATAATTATTAGACTAATAAAAACATGTTAAAAACTTTTAATTTACTTGCTGCTTTTAATGCAAAAGCAACTTTACTGCTTTTAAAATAATATCAACAGTGAACCCTCTTTAAAAAGGCCATCCCCATATTTTGCTCTTTTGTAGAGATAGTTTTCTTAGAGATGTGACAGCCAATACTGATGTCTTGTTACATTCTTCCATACATTTTGCACTGAAGTAAGTCAAGAATGAAGTTCAGCAAGTTCATTTTTAGAAAGATAATCTATTTAACTTTTTAATACCTATAACTATTTTTTTTTTCATAGTCCATCACTGCAAAGAAAATGGAGTTTTAATTAAATGAAAATTAAAAAGGATTTAAACAAAGAATGAAATAATAATGATATCAAACAGCAAACAGGAATATATATAAAATTAAAGAGGTATTCACGTTTACACTCTGATCTTTATTTAACATTAACACATCATTATCTTTATGATAGACTGCAGATAAAATAGAAAACTGAAATTTGAATTTTGGAAAAACATTACATTAACATTAGTTTTCTAAGAAAAAAAAAAAAAAAATCTGCATGCATTTTCAATGAACTGGGCATGAGATCCTTGTGCTACATTCAACAGAGATCATGAAAGAATAACATTAGAAACCCAAAACAAGAACAGAAATGGTGGTTAGTCATAATAAATTAGCATTAAGCTACGGCTTAATTTAGCTTATATTGAAATTTCAAAACCTTCTACCTTTTCTTTCTTTTTCCATAAATAGGTAAAATAATAATAATAAAAAAATTGAAAATTTTCAGATTTTATATTACCCCCAAAAGGAAATTTTTTAAAAAAGGTTTTTGTGTTACCTTTATTTATTAAATATCATGATCTTTGCATTTTAACCGTAATATTCAATTCAACAGCAATATCGCAAAATAATTTTAAAAGAGCATATCTTTAAAATTTCCGATACACAGTCTCGCACACGTGAGTTAAAAAAAAAAAAAAAAACCCCCCCCACAATGTTGCTATTGCTCACTTTGCAATTGCTAAATTTGTTAATAAAAAATGTATTTAAGTTTTACAAAATATGAAATAGATAATAAAATAATTTCCAAACTTGGGCTTCCAGATATCCATATATTTGCTGGCAACAACTTGAAAAGTGATTCAAGATTTATGTTTTCAATGCAAAATGCCAAAACGAAATTAATAGCCCTTCTGGGCAAAATTGCCCCTTTGCGGTAATAATAAATAAATAAACTAAAGAAAGAGAGAGACTGCTAACTTACAAAGCAGGAAATAATATGCTTTTTTCATGGACTTGATATGAAAGCAAGAAGAATGCGAGAGAGCTATTTACCTGAAACATTTAAGAAAATGCATAACATTAAAGTAATGAATGATTAAGCTCATTAATACTAAATTTGCAAGCACAAATAAATGAATTTTTATGTAATCTGTATATTATTATAGATTTAAATTTTATATATTTCAGTTTTTACAAAACATTGCGACCTTTCATGATGACCCCCACCTGTGGAAAAAAATGTAAGTAAGGAATGATATGAAAAATCAGAAGCAGTTATGTTTTCTGGGATAGCCACCTCCACTGTTGGAACAATTTTAGGAAGTTTCATTATATGGTACATTCTGATTATCTGCATCCCCACCAAAAAATTACAAAATTGTCAGGAATTTGGAAAAGAACCATTTAGGTTTCCTAATGTATGTTTCAATGATGCATCCAATGCATTCTTCCTTTTCGAGAGAAAACATATGACTTTTTGGAGATAATTACACCAACCGATAGTTGTATTAAGAGATAATCCTAGTTTCTCTTCGCACAATTTCACTGACATAAATTCTTATGTCTAACAAAAAATAAAGTGAACACCTGTTATAAACGAAATATGTATATCTTCAAACTAGTTTCTCACCTGCATTTTAAAACTTATAGCTGCCTTCAAACCAATTTTCAACTAACATTTTAAGAACATGCTTGTAATTTTTCACATCGTATTTCCATAAAACTTGGTCATTTAAGAAGTATAACATCACGGAATGCGAATTTTTGCATTCTCTATCACTGAATACACTGCCATATTTTTGAAGAAATGCAATGCTTCTTTTTTTCCTCAGCCAGCAAACATCAGGATTTCATTACAATTCATTACGATAAAAACAAACGTACTCAATGAAAAAAGGAATAATAATCAGAAAAATGACAGGCGAATTTCAAAATTGCAATACGTACACAAAAATATATGAGATAGACACATACAGTGCAGGATTTACATGTAAGCTACAGAAACTATAGCTTAGGAGGACCCACCCCCAAAAAATTTATATACAGTGGAACCTCCAGGTACCAGCATCTCTATATGCGAGAAATTCGAGATACGAGGGAAGTATGAGAGAAAAATTTGTCTCTAAATACGAGCATTGCCTCGAGTAATGAGCAAAGAGCCAGGCTGTTGGTATGCACAGCGGCATTTCCCGATCCGGCTCGACGCAGGGTATCCCCTCTTCAGATCATTCAGTGTACTCTGATCTACGTGTTTGTGCACTTATGAGTTAATTGTTTATTACATTCAAAGTGAAAGTAATTATTTCACAATGCCTCCCAAGAAGATTGTTGCCTCAGATAATGCTGCAAAGAAAAATAAGGAAGCCATGGCCATTGAGATTAAGAAAGAAATCATAAGCGTGGTGTAAGAATGACAAAATAGGCGAAGACCGATGGCGTTTCGACATCGACGATCTGTACTCTTCTGAAAAAGGTGGAAGAAATTAAGAAACTTGATGTAGGCAAAGGAGTTACCGTTATTTCCAAACACTGTCCAAAACTCCTAGAAGCTGTTACAGATTAACAAGAAGCAGTTAAGGTCAGTGTCAGAAGATATCATAAAGGTAAACTACGGTTGTATTATTTACCAGTGTTATTTATTAGAAAAATCGATTTTTATGTTGATATTTTTGGGGGTGTAGAACGGATTAACTGGATTTCCATTATTTTCAATGGGAAAATTTATTTCTAGATACGAGAAATTTGCTATACGAGCTTATTGCTGGAACGAATTAAAGTCATATCTTGAGGTTCCACTGTATAGTGTTAAAATATAGTATAACAGACATATAAAAGGCCCATATCTCAAATAGCTTAGGGCCTCATCAAGCCTAAATCCAGCCCTAGACACACAGTCATATAAATACTTTCTGGCAAGATCCTGGGTTGCTCTTTAAGTACTTTTTGGTGACATGGTGTACTGCCTCATCATTACCTTTTCAAGATTTTACATTGGGGGGTGCAGATACTCAGAAAGAACTCATTATATAAAAATTTTTATCAAATTTTTAATTTTCATTTTTAGGTTTTTAAAATACTCTTGAAGTGTAAAATAAATAAAATTTTATTTGAAATTCAAAATATTAAAACACATTAAACACTGATACCAATATTTAACACACACACAAATAAATAAACAAATAACTAAATAAAAATAAAAAAATCTTAAAACAACCACTCACAAAGAAAATTTTTGGTAACCAATCACATGTTACTTCGCATAAAGTTATCATTTAGAGTAACACTGGTTTCATCTGTGGCTCAGGATGACTATTATGATAAAAATCTTAAACCAATAACTGAGTGGTGGAAACATGCAAATAGCAACTCTTTGAAAATGGAAGGAAAAAGATGTGCATCGTTCTTGATGGGAAACAAATATAAAAGTTGTTTTAAACAGCCAGTAGTCTTTAATATTTGTCTGGCAATAATCACTTAAGGAATTTAATGATTGAATTACACTTAAAAATGCATATATTGAAAAAAGAATTAATCCTAGATCCATCATATTTCTTCAAAAATATTGCATTTTTCTCAGCAATAGAGAAAGCAAAAACTCACATTCTGTTATGTTGTACTCTTAAAGGACTGAATCTTATATAAGTGCAAAGTTAATTAATCTTTCTAGAGGTAATTTTGAAGTACCAGTTCCAAGAATTCAAAAATCTTCCATGATATAAAGTAATCAATCATGTGGGAGATTCAATTCTCTCTCTCTTTTTTTTTTAATAATTTCCATTCAATTAAATATTCACCATGCTCAGAATGTGTTAATTTGCGAAGGGAAAGACCCAATTTGTTTCCTGGGGGATCTTTCATAAAGCCATTCAGAAGAAACTCGTAGTTGATCAGTTATGGAAGATTGTAACTAAACATGTCAAAATGAGTTTCATATAAAAAAAAAGGGGTCACCAAAATAATACAACACACAGTAAAAAGCAAAGATTCTTAGCATGGCATTTCTTCATCACAGCTTATGAAAAACAGAAAAAGAACACATCCAGGGGCATCAGCAGGTTAAGTCCAACGATCAGCTGAAAAAGAATACAAACCCAATGCTATCCTTCAATAACAGGGAGCGTGGTTTCACTCAAAATCATCAACATTTATTTTATTTTGCAGTAGCAAAAACTTCTTATAAAAGACTTGACAGAGTGTAAAGAATATCACAAATGATATATTAATCTTTTTTTCTAGATCTTAAAGAGGATAAAAGAAGTAGAATCTATATGTAACTAGGGGAGAAAACTTTGGCATTTAAAAAAAATACAACTTTTAAACATTATACATAAACACAAAATTTTGTTGGCCATATCTTTAAAAATTAACATTACACATAATTTTTCTCAAACATGTCGAAAACATTTCAAGTGTGAATAAGAATTAACGTCTTTTGTTATAATTAAAATACATTTATCAGTTATTTTAATAACTACTAATTTTAAACCTTGTTTATGAAATGGAATAGTACCAAAAAAATGTTAAACTAAAGAAGTTTAAATTTTTTTTCAAGAACAACTGAATGCTACTAAATCAAATCATTAGATTGTTAAGACATTTGAATAAATTAAACAGCATTGATTAATGTAATGAATAAAAACCATTTAAGACTTATGCATAGTTTCAGATTAAAGTTGACTGCTCTTGATTAAATTAAATGCTTAGTTTAATGACCAGTAAAATTAAGCAAAAATTCAATTTAGAAAATTTGAAAATAATATTTGAAAACTAATTAATCAAAAGAGAAATAACTGGATCAATTAAAGATAAATTTCCTAGATTAATACAACATTCATTATTAAAAAAACTATATAAATCAATAAACTAAATAGATAGTGATACAACAATATGAATTAATCTTCAAAACCCCTTAATAATTTTAACACATATCACTGGACATCATAATAATTAGCACATCAATTCTATATAAATATTCATAAAATACTCACTAAAGCGTATCTGAATTTATGAATGCTTGGATAGAGTAACAGATTGGCTGCAGATGGTAGAACTGATAAAAGAGTACAGATGGCACTAAAAAAAAAGTTTCAGTTTACCTTTTTTTTTTAAGTAATGCATCTATACATAAAACAGATTATGGCAAATCAGTGTAAATAATGAAATTATATGCAACAGACATTTGCATTTTAAAACTCGCATACAATAGAATACTTGGATATTATTACTGAATTATGCAGACATATTAATACTAAATAATATTTTTTTCTTATGCAGAAATGAATGCAGACTATGAAAACACACAGCTGACAATTTTAAAATATGAAAAAACATGGTTGTGATGCTGCATAGTGACATAATTTTAAAGGATTCTAATCTGACAAAAAAATTCATTCAAATTAATTCAAGGCAATTGTTAAACTAGTTACAGTTCTCTGGTGAAATATAATAACATTTAAATCTTTATTCAAAATTTTAATTTTCTTGGCTAATTTCATTTTATTTTGTAATTTTTTAAAAATTTTGTACTGATGAAAACTTAAGGAAAAAAGAAATACTTTTAAAAATGACAGAAATAAAATTGCAAATTAATGCACATATAATCACGTGGATAAACTTAGTAGTATACCATTTACAGATTTAAAGCAAAATTAAATATTAATATTTGACAACTAAATATTAAATGTTCAGACTATGTTTTAATGATATCTATAATTGATTAAAAACAGATCATGTTGAATTAAAATTAATCAGAAAACATTATGCTCAAAAAGCACTTTGGGGAAGGGGGAGGAAAAAATCTGCATAGTTTTTAATTCTATCAAAAAATGAAATTGTGACAAAAACTGTACCTTTGTTTGAAAACTTTTTAATTCTTAAACAAACAAACTGTAACATTTTTCTTCATAGCATTTCCTTTTCCTCTCATACTTAGTGATCAACAGTGATCTTTACTCTTTGAAGACCAAAATGCCCCAGATGACATTTCATTTAAACAACCACAACTACCCAAAATGGCCAAAATTGCAATTTCTTTTCTTCCCTCCCCCTAAGGTATGTAGCAGCAAGTGCAGTTTCCCCAAATGCATTGTATCAGTTTATTGCAGACAGCTTGTCCTAAAAGGATTTATTTGTAGTTTCGTATCTTTTATTTGTTAGGATTGGATTATTCAGTTATGGCAAAGCACACGAGGGCTATCTGCCTAAAGGGAGGGATGCCTTTCGTGGAGGACTTTCTAAGGGAAACTGGCTCATATACACGTTACAAATGGGGAAAACAACGAAATTGCTTTACAGCCAGCCTGTTCGCGGGATTCGAACCTCGGACCGAACTACCAGTGTTCAGCGTCTTTACCGCTCGGCCGCTGGTGGGCCTCTATTTGTTAGGAAGTAGAAAGGATGCCATTCGAAATTTTCATACATCTTTGTGCGTTAATGGATGGGGAGGAGAGGAAACTGCTGTGAATTTGGAAAGGCATTTTGGGTGCTTTGGTACTTCAAGTATACAGGTTAATGAAGGCTTTGGTTTTCAAAGAGTTAAACTACTGCATAAGAAAGAAATACTCTAAATTCTGTTAAATTCAAAACCGGGAAATTCGAGACTCAAATCAGGAATCTCCCGGTGAAACCAGGTTAGTTGGTAGATCTGCAAATATGAATAAGTTCGCATATTCTGCAAATATGTGTTTTACCTTGTCTCCAAATGAGAAATATAACAGGAAATTAAGAAATAAAAGATTAGGTTAAAAAATTCATTAAATTTCTCTACTTAAAATACTGATGAATATTTGACTTTTATTATATTCTGCTGCATTTATAGACACACAAAATAATATTAGACTATCATTAGCCTAATAATTTAAAAATGTTACATCCTAATATGACATCTACACTAAAAAAATGTCTTTGTTTAAAGTTGAAATATGAAAGAAATTTTAATCCGTTTTGAAAATGTGAAAAGTGTGTTTACCTTAAAATGGCAAGTTGTGAAGTGGTAAATATATTTTTCATCTTTATGAAAACAGATAATGCATACCACACATTAGCAACTTTATCCTAAAATAAAGAAATAAACATTGTGTGCTTTAATTACCTATAAGTTACATTTAGATTCAAATTACAATAAAGCAGAATCAATTTAAGAAAATTTCTCAGATTAAGTAAATGCTTTTTTTCACTAAAATTTATATGCTCTGGATTTCTTTTTTCAAAATTAATTTATACTGGGTCATAAAAAAAATTGAGATTTTTCAAATTGAAGCATATTTTCTTCTAATCATTTTGTTATTGTTGATATTGAATGTGACTTTGATGAAAGTGGATTTAAAATATGGTTTTTTTTGCTCACGTAGCATAATTTCCTGTCATGCGGTGGCATAATTTTTGTTTCAGCATACGGCTCAGAATACAGAATCCAAAAATTTGCTACATTATGTGCTTTTAATTTTAAAAATCTGATGTGGACACCACGACTCCCTTGTACAGAATATTAAATTCTATGCATTTTTGCTGCATTTCATTTAATTTTATTTCCTTGAATTTCATTAGAGATAGAATTCTCTTTCAATTAATTCAGTTCTCACTTTGCAGTGAGGCAAAAATGCATAAAAACTCAAAATATCTTCATTAAAAACGGAAAAATATAGAAAAATAAAACACCACAAACAGTTTTTTTTTTTTTTTTTTTTTTTTTAAATTCTTACAGTTAAAATTAAGAGTTTCTATGCTGAAACAAACAATTCAGCCAGAAAGGCAACAAGGCAGATTTTTCAGTGCGCAAAGCTGAAAATTTATGTTTGGTCCTACTTGGCCAACAAAAAATTGAAGGTGCAGAAACTGCCTTATTAATATTCCTATTCTGCTAAGTTTCAAATGTAAACAAATAGGGTGGTATGGTAAACAAAAATAAGGCTTAGCTGCACTTTAACAACTTTCAAATTGTTAATAATTCTACAACTATTGCATGCAGATAAACTAAAGGCATAAAAACCTTAACTGGAAGATAAGAATAACACAATTCAATTATTTTTAAAGCAAAAAATGCACAATTTATCAATTTTTTTTTATATAAGAATAAAAAAAAACTGAGCTCACCCAGCCAAGTAACAGAGCATGTATACATATATATATTTATATACTTTTGGTGCCGCCGACTGCAACCAAAAAGGAAGATGCACAGCTGTATGTTATAGCAATCCTATATACAAAATTTAAACATTCTGAGGCTACTTGTTTTTGAGTTATGTAAGATACATACATACATATGTATGTACTTATGTACAGTTGTCACGAAAAAAAAAAGTCTCCTCTGAATCCATTTTAAATCAATTTCATAATCCATTTGGGGAAAAGAGTCCTTTATTCTTTCCTTACGCACAGATGTCACTTGAAAACAACGTTAAATTGCATTCCATAGCAGTCAAAATGGATATTTTTGATGAAATATGATACCCGGAATTTTCGTGATTACAATACTTTCTTTACTTCGTACAAGGAGGTAAAAGGAGAAAAAAATGCTACTCAGATTTGCTGTTACAATATATGGGTGCCTCATACTTCAACAGAGCGGAATATACTTCTGGCATGCAAAGCTTTGCTGAAAAAAATAAAGAAGCTCCTTTTTTAAAACAGCTCATTGCAGGAGATGAGAAGTGGATATTATTCATTAATGTTGCAAGAAAAAAGGTCAACGGGTAAACAATAACTCCGATTCATACAGGGTGTTTCACTCGAAAGGGGCTCTGGGAAAAGTGTGATAAATATCTTATAAAAAGAGGAAATGAAACTAAAATTTTACATGACATGCCTCTATGATAAGAATCTTTGAAATAAATTAATACTCTTATTTTAGTGAGAGCTACATGAGAAACCTTATGTCACACCAACAAAATAATGAAAGAATTTTATAAAGTTGCAAAAAATTTTATGAAATTTTAATTTAAATGGAAACAAACAAGTTACATACACAGATTGCATAATCATGTACAGAAAAATGCATGAATTAAAATAATAAATAATAATATAAAATTAATTCATTTAAAAAATATTATTACTCTCAATACAGGATGGCATAGAAAAATGCAAATGAATAAATAGCTTAAAAACAACTTAGGAAATGTTTCTAGTTGTTGAATTTCTTGCTAGCTGATTACTTCATTTGTTTGGTTTATTTGATAATGGCAAGCACTCGAGGCTATTTGCTTTAAAGAGAGGGATGCGTTCATGGAGGACTCTCCAAGAGAATCTGGCTGGAATACACGTTACACACGGGGAAAACCATGGAAAGCCCATGCAATCAGCCTGTCCGTGGGATTCGAACCTTGAAATGAGCTACCAGTGTTCAGTGTCTTCATCACTGGCCCCTGGTGAGCTGCTTTATTAAAGTAATAAACATTCTACTCCTGTGTTCAGCATGAATTTTGCCACTGATTTAATCCTTTCAACTATAACTAAGGATTGTCGTATGGGATTTATGTACCAATTTCGCATATGTTTTACATTTTCAATATTTATAAGGCACTGGGAAATTTTATTACATAAATTATTTTATTACATAAAAATGATAACAGTAAGAATCCAACAGTTATTTCACTAAACACATGAATGATGTAAACTGCTGTCAAATAACTACTCCTTACAGTTATGGCAGAAAATCGACTAAATAGTGGAAATTGTTTTGGGGAAATTAGTTACAATTTGTGCAAATTTCTGAATTGTAAAGATTTGCTATTCTGATAATTTCCATTATTCAACTTAAGTTTAACAACAAGAATTATTAAATGTTTTTCATAATATTTATTACTCCTAAATAATAACATTTTGTTGAAAAACCCTCCCACTGAACTGGTAGATAATTCTGTATAATATAATTCCTCAGTTTGTATAAATCAAGCCCAGAGTTGCCCAATTTAGACCAGGCACGTTAAACTTAGTATCTCAAATTGGCCAAATAGTCATCAGTACACATTAATATTAGTTAAGAAAAACACAAAGCCATTTTCATACTTAATGATGTCATGAATAAAAAGGAAGCATATTCTAGAACCATTTTTGACACAAAGCAGTTCGGTTTTGGGTTCTCTTAAAACTAGTGGATGTTACTGAAAAATAAATGTTATATTTTGGATGTAACAAAATGTGAACATATAAGAAACATGTAAAAAATTACAGGAATTAATTTTTTTAAAATAGTGCAGATAAGTAATTCGCAAATTTTACAAAAATATTGTTACAATTTCAAATAAAACAGAAGTACAATAAAATACTGTTAATTAAAAAAAAAAACCACTAAAATATAAACTCACTTCATACAAACCTCTAGAAAGTGGAAATAATCGATGGACAACTTGAAGGAAATCTTCAGACCTTGACAAAAATGGCATCCAACAAATGGCACTCGTAACCAGCACCGTAAATGCAAGGTTTAAGAACTTTACTATTCTACATGAGGAAAATTTTTTATTGCCTTAATTAAATATGCAGAATTATAAATGAAATAAATTATAATACTCTTGATTAAATTATTATATTAGTTTAATCAGAGTTATATTATAAATGAAAAATATTATATAAACATTGTGCATTACCTTTCCTTCCATGGAAGTTCTAAACATGATCCCATAAGATAACAAAAAAATGGCAGAGCATAATATAATGACATCTGCTTGTAATGAAGAGCAAAAGTGAAAAATATAGCACCTAGGCAATCATATTCCTTTAAAAGAAATACTATAGCCCACATAGTGAGACCAAGGCTCACAGAGTTATATATAAAACAAGATTAAGGAAAAAATACATTTTATGTATTTGTAATATACAAATGGTGATAAAGAAAACCAACTGATTGCATGTTAGTAGAAGCGAAGCATGTATGAAAACAGCAAAGTTTATACTGCTGATGTTAGAGATCAAAGACTTTGAAGTTACTATATTTCTCAGCAGCCAATGCCAATGATTAAGTATTTCGGAGTGCCTACGGTTCTAAATCATGACCTCCACATCATAAAAATATCTAAGTAGTGAGCAGAAATAGGAAAATTAAATAAATAGTTAGTTTGATGCAAGCTAGAGGGAGCCACATTAGCTCAGGAGAGTTTAGGTGTAGGAAAAAATCATTAAGTCAAAAAGTTTTCATTTTTTAAATTTATTTATTTTTTATTTTTCAATTTCTTTTTGGCATTTTATATTTTTATGACATAAATAAAACACAAAAGCAAAAAGTGGAGAGGAAGGATTTTAGAGATTAAGAGGCTCATTGGCATATGGCGCTAAATCAGAATGTAGCAAGGTATTTCTCAGCAGAGGGACATAGCATGAAACAATTATTAGAGTCTAATTAAATGTTTTGATCTGAATGCTTTTCAATGCTATTGGATATAAAACTTCAGTTTCACTTTCATCATTATGTAAGTAGGTATGTTATACACATCATATGCAAATCATACTCACGATCTTTATGTGGCATACTTCAGAAAGACTTAATACAAGCATTTTATTCTTAGAATAAGAATGGGAAAGTAACCAAATTAAATAATAGATTTAAGGGGTTATTAAAAACTGATTGTGTTGCATACATATTTTAATATAAAACATATAATTATAAACAAAAGGATACTGAAAATGCCCATGATCAATAAGAATCAATCCTGGATACAGCAAACACAAACAAGCTGCTATAGCCTATTAAGAAAAAGTTAAAAACAGCATTAGACCAAGACAAAAAAAAAAAAAAAAAATAAGAAATACAGGGTGATTATAATTAAAGTTGCGATTTCAAAACGCTCTAACGTTAAAATTACAGGTCAGAATGACTGGACATTTTACCAGAACAATCGTGAGGCAATAGAATTTTGTTTGGTGAAGAAAAAAAAATAGTTCCAAAATGTGCCAATAGATGGCATTGTCAGGGTACACATGGCTGTTGCGGAGGTATGCACATTCCTAAGAACTTGACATGCGCACCACAGACATAGCTGTGATAAAAATGCAGAACACGTAATGCTTTGCCTGAATGCTTCATCATGACTGACAAAGAAGGATCATGCTCTGCTCGTGAAGCTTTTCTATCAGAAAAAGAGGAGCATCATGAAACAAACACCGCATGTTCCGTAGCAGTTCAGAGGGTATCTGTGCTGATGCTATGAATGTGGTGTGTGATGCTTGCCTTCAAGTTAACCAGATTCCCAATCCACCCACTGTAAACAACATTCTTCAGGTATCCTAAAAGCCAAAAATGACACAGGTTTAGTCGGGCGAATGTGGCGGCCACCTTGTTGAAAAATGGTGGCTTATGATTTTATGAGCATTTAGCAGCTGTTTGAGAAAAGTAGCAATATTCGGAGGAGCGCCATCTTGAATGAATATTGTGCGATCCAAACAATTACGCTGCTGAATTGCCTAAGGACACGGTTAAGCAAAAATGCTTCATATTCATATAAAATTCTTCATTGCATTAACAGCTATCAAGGAAGTTCTGGACATTAAAAGGCATAAAATCATCCCCATGGCCACTTACGGCCTGAGGAAAATTATAGATAAATTTGAAGAGACTGGTTTATTTGACATGAAACGAGGTAGAAGACGAAAACCAGTTACGGCGGTGGCAGTGGAAGATGTGGCCACAATGTTACAAGAATAGACAAACAGTGATGCACGGGGAATTGGACGAATGTTGGATATGCCTTTTAGCACAGAGCGTAATGTCCTATGGAACATCTTGTGCTGTTACCCATGCAATATAACTTGTGTGCAGAAGTTGCTACTTGCTGACCTAGATACACGTGAGTCGTTTGGACAATGATTTCTTGCTCAGATGGACAATAGATGGGTAGGGAACATTCTATGATCTGGCAAAGCCCATTTCCATTTGCAAGGTTCTGTAAATACTCAAAATTGCAGGATACTGGTCATTGAGAATCCGTTCCCACTACAGTCATGGCCTCTTCAGTCGAAAAAGGTCCCTGTGTGGTGAGGAATAATGTCAGCGTTTGTCATCGGTCCGTTCTTTGAGATCACACCTGTGGGTCCCGTTAACTGCATTGTTTTTGTCAAGCAATATGAAGCATTTTTGCTTAACCGTGTCCTTACGGCAATTCAGCAGCATAATTGTTTGGATCGCACAATATTCATGCAAGATGGCGCTCCTCCGAATATTGCTACTTTTCTCAAACAGCTGCTAAATGCTCATAAAATCATAAGCCACCATTTTCCAACAAGGTGGCCACCACATTCGCCCGACTAAACCTGTGTCATTTTTGGCTTTTAGGATACCTGAAGAATGTTGTTTACAGTGGGTGGATTGGGAATCTGGTTAACTTGAAGGCAAGCATCACACACCACATTCATAGCATCAGCACAGATACCCTCTGAACTGCTACGGAACATGCGGTGTTTGTTTCATGATGCTCCTCTTTTTCTCTTATCATTATGATTGTTTTTGTTGTACACACATATTCTTTGAACTGTTCACTGTTAACACGTACGACAGGCGAAAAGATGTGTCTATTATTTCCTTTTGGCGAACAACATTTCAAATGTTTAACATTTAGGCCTTACCCTGATAGTGCTGTCTATCGGCACATTTTGGAACTATTTTTTTCCTTCGGCAAACAAAATTCCATTGCCTCACGATTGTTCTGGTAAAATATGAAGTCATTCAGACCGGTAAGTTTTAAAGTTAGAGTGTTTTGAAATCACAGCTTTAATTATAATCACCCTGTATTTTATTACATCCAGTTAATAAAAAATATAATTAACAAACAAAAACAATGCAGTTAACGGGACCCACAGGTGTGATCTCGAAGAACGGACCGATGACAAACGCTGACATTATTCCTCACCACACAGGGACCTTTTTCGACTGAAGAGGCCATGACTGTAGTGGGAACGGATTCTCAATGACCAGTATCCTGCAATTTTGAGTATTTACAGAACCTTGCAAATGGAAATGGGCTTTGCCAGATCATAGAATGTTCCCTACCCATCTATTGTCCATCTGAGCAAGAAATCATTGTCCAAACGACTCACGTGTATCTAGGTCAGCAAGTAGCAACTTCTGCACACAAGTTATATTGCATGGGTAACAGCACAAGATGTTCCATAGGACATTACGCTCTGTGCTAATAGGCATGTTTTTATTCAAAATATTTCTCAACTTATTTTACTCATCTCTACAATAACTGTATTTAATCATTGTATCTTAGATCACATTGTTTATAAATATTCTTTAATACATGGCTGTTTTAAGAATTCAAAATTTGTTGAACAATGCAGCAATAAACATTAGCAGCATTATGCTACTAAAATAGGTTTAGAATTCATTTGGATTTTAAAGCATGATTTTCCATTTGTTTTTAATATTATGTTTCAGAACAGTAAATGTCATAATTACAAATATCTGAACTTAAAATACATCCTTTATTAAAATTCATACATGAGAGAATTTAAGACTATGAAATGTAAGTTAGTCCTCTATCATAGCTATCCAGAAAATTATCAATATTTACTGATGTCTAAAATTGTGGATCTTGTGTAAACTGGGCTTGGTGATTTGATCTTCCATTGGTCTTATGTAAATTGGTCACACATTTATCCATTAAAATCGCATTTACCATTGAAATACCATTAAAATTTCATTTAACTTTTAAAGTACTGAAAAATGTAGGTAACTATTAAATTTTTTGATTTTTGCCTGCATCAATTAAATTATCATACAGTTTCTCATGTGTTTCATAGCTTCTTTAAACATTCTGAAATTCTATCATGAAAGTAATTACTTCATAATTTTTCTAATATAACTTATATGCAAAATTTCACGTAAATCCAACGAACAGTATTTTTGTGATACAGTCACAAATACCGAAAATCCACCGACCTGAAATCCTCATTGCCTCTCAAAATATAAACATTCAGTTTATAAGTTCCGGAAACCACAACACTGAATATGAAATATCGAAGAAAAAATACTTAACGAATGATGACGTCATAATTACCGAATAATAATAAGTCATAACGGAAATACCAAATTATTGACATGATGATAAAAATTTTCCCCCTCTAATATGCATTGAGGTAAAAAAGCAGACAATTCACTCAACTCTTCTTTCAAGTTCACAATTCTCGTTGTTGTATTTTCTGAGCTTTGTTATTTCACAAGATTATTTAGTGCTACCTTTTTTTAAAAAAATCCAGATACTTTGTGGATATTACGAAGAATTAAGAATATTTTAAATTTCAGCCTTTTCTATTACAATGACAGATAAGAAACGCACTCATGATTTTACTACTTGCAACATTGAAAAACATAAACTCGTTGCATTGACAGTAATGCAAAAAGTGCAAATTCTGCAAAAGATGGAGGCAGGTACTACTCCTTGGTTTAAAGCAGAATCGTATGGAATTGCAACACGATTGTATATGATATATGGAAAAATAAAGAAAAGCTGTCGAAATTTTACAGCAACAGTGATTCTAACACCGGAATCCAAAATCGGAAATCTCTGCATGAGGCGAAATTGGCAAACCTGTGTACATATAACACATATGTTGTGTACATATAATACAATGAATAATATATAACCAATTTATATATGTAATAATAATTTAATGCATATAATAAGTTATTGCAATAATGTATATAATAATTTAATTAAATGTATCTAATACGCCTTATTTATTTTGCCCTTTTAGTCTGAATATTATGATTTATCTTTTCTGTCCTGAAATCCGCAAAATCTCAAAATCCGCACAACCTCTGGTCCCAAGCTTTGCCAATTTCTGGACTTCTACTGTACAGGCAATCTCACTCACAGACAACAATTTACTTTTATACTCAGATGTACACTATAAGGCAGAAACTTGAGAATGCTTGAACATTGTATAAAATACAAGACATATAACATATTTTTATATTATTTACTGTGATTTCTACCTAGTCTCTATCTAAACTATTATAATGTACAACTTAACACTAACCATTCATTTTTATTTCTAGCAGGAAAAATCATTAAATTTGCTTGATTTTAACAGATATTACCTTATCCCTCAGTTTGAAAGGTCTTCGAATAAAAGTCCAGTATAGGATAACAGGGACATAGAACAGCAAATCTGCAGCTAAAACTGAAAGAAAAAATAATAATTACACAAAATGAAGTTGTGTTACTAATAATTTGAAATAACAAAATTATTGAATGTACAAACAACATACCAGTTGATCGCATGAATATTTTATGATGATAACTCTCATATCCTCTTGAAGTGTACAAAGCAACCCAGTCTGGATTTAACCATTTTGCACTGTAAATATACAATAATTATGTAATATGTAATAATACTTTTTTTATTGTGAAATTTTCTATATACTATTCAAGCATTCTGATCATTTTATATGGATTCTAATACAAATTAAGAAAATTTCAATTAAATTAAAGAAACTGCAGTCTCTATCTTCAGAAACACTGCTTACTTAGAATGCTTGCAGTCTTACTTAGAATATACTGCTTAAAAATGAGCCAAAATATCATGAACTAAATTAATTTCTTGCCATGCAAAAGGAAATTATTTCAGCCAATCACATGTTGAGCATATTCAGCAAACTTCTAATTTTATCGATCTCTTGGGTAGTTCCGCATTTTGCTCTGGGATTGTTGCAAAGTGCATTGCCCTCAGCAATACAAGAAAACGATTCCTGCTGATATTATATGAGAATACACTCAAGGCAAAAATGCATATCTGTTTTCCAGTAATCTTGGTAGTTTATTCTTACAGTTCCCATGCATAACATTAATCCCACAAATACAAACATTTTATCTTTTGCAGTTTCCTTCCAAGCATTAATTCTAAAATATTCCTTTGTTTCACGGCAACAAAATACTTTATGAACATAGTCAGTTTGAGCAATTACTTCATCCAAAATGTTTTCGGTAAATAAATGGAGAATATAATTGATTGTATTGTCACCTGAAACAAGTTGCAACAAACAATCTGATTTTGTGAAAGGAAATTGTTCCACTGTTGTAGGAGAAATCCATTTCCCAGTTTATATCTCCTACCACTGCCAGTGGATTTCCCAAATTATATTTCCTATCACAGCGGAATCATGCTGATGACATGACATCTCTTGCATGTCTTGCAACTCTTCACCTTTTTCTTCAGAATCCGAAACATCATGGGCACTTTGGGAAGGAATGAAATCTTCATTGCTGTCCTAACTAATATCACTCAGGTATTCGACTGAAAGCATAGCTAAAATTTTGTTATTTCATCATACGTTAGAGACTTACTAGATTACATTTTTCTTTTTTGGAGGCATGAAATTCCTGCAGAAATATTGTTTCTACAATCATATTAAAGTTTTTTTTAATAACTAATAAAGCTATAAATTCGAAACCAATTAAGCTTTACAATTAGCTTTTAACCTTTACTTCACACCAATGTCAGCAGAGATACTTAACATACAAAGAGTGTTTACATATTTTTTTGTAACAATTTTGATTTTCTTCATGAATTTAAATATTAATTTTAAAATACACACGTTACTGGCATCAAACTGGAATAAGGTTTAATTATAATCTACAGAATTGAAATATTCTTTTCTTTAAAATGTCACTGAAAAATAAACAATGGATCGAAGGCTATATTTTTTAGCTGTCTGAAGAGAATTATTCAATTATTAAAATAGATGTGAAAAGCATAGTTTTAATACTTCTACACGTAAAATAAGTGACATGATTGATATGAAAGGAAAAAAATGCCAAAGTTTACATCTGACTAGAAAAAAAGGCAAAAAAATGCACACGCAAAACAAGTACATACAGCTCTTATTAAATATCTCATGTTTTAAAGGAAAATCCAGCTTTTCTCCCAAAGAACTATTGCAAAATGTTTAAGTATCTCTATAGGACCTGTGAACAAAATTACAATTACAAAATCTGATTTAAAGCTAATCAAAACAAAAAAATTATGTTCATCGCCTTATGCTGAAACATGTTTATTAGCATAAGACTATGTGCTATGAAAATTATTTGTCAGGCGAAAATTTGAAATATATAGTTACAAATGATGAAGCTTGGTTATATTTATCTGATTGCAATAGAAAAAGATCGATTTACTAACGAAAAAGAAGAGAAAAACACTTAATATATTGGGTCAGAGAAAACAAGAAAAATTTTTCAAAAGGTTTTATGGTTTTTACTGGATTCTCTTATAACGGGAAAACTTAAAGGAAGTAGGAAAAAATATCAAAATTAATTCGGATTACAATCAGAAATATGTTTTAACACATTTTTAAAGAAATTCCATCTCTTTATCCAAACAATCTTCAATGTGTTCAATTCTCTCAGGATAAGGCTCTGAGCCATACCTCTAAATCTACTACCGGAATTGAAGTTATTTCCTTTAAATGCATCCAAGTCCCCTATGGATTTAAGGGGTTATTATTTGTCTTTGCATTTGGTCTTTAAAACAAGCTTTGGTACTTACGTATTAACGACACCACAGCTGCAGATTTGGCGGTTTTTAAGTGGCGCCAATCTACACCTAAAATTTTTGCGACAAACAAATTAAAACACATTATTTAAAATCAAAGCAGTCAATCAGATTCTGGTGGAAAATGGGCCGATGTAGAGTTTAACATAGATTCAAAACAGACTCAATTTTCTTTGACCCAATGCTGTCGCCATATGAACTCTGCTAAATAAGATTCTAAATTATGTCTCGCTGTACCCCTATGTCTCTTGTTCCTCCATTTAGCACTGCCCCACATTCTCTCAACTGTTTGTGTATGAACTCCTGTATCAGGATCAATAAAATTGTATTTATGATTAACTTAAGCATTTAGGAACCCATTTTCTATTCTATTTGTTTGGTAGCCTTTCCAACTCTCAGAATAAATTGTGCTATCATCTGATAACTGCATGCGAACAACAGGATTGCTCTTTAATGGCGCAACGTAAGTGCGGTGGCATTAATACGTAAGTACCCAAGCTTTTTGTAAGAGGCATCCCAAAACATTAGATGGACTCTGAAAGATTGTGAAAGAGGAGTGGAATAAAATCAACCTTGATGTCTTAAGAAAAGGACTTTTATCTTGGAAATCAAGATGTAATACACTGCTCAACAAAAGAGCTATGAGATTGAACATACTAGAAATAAAAGTCTAAGGTTTATTTTTATATAAATCTTTGCAAAATCGTTACAAAAAATGTGTGAAAACTATCTGTATAATGCCAACTGAAGCAGAAACTAAATGTTGAGGTGCAGTCAGATCTTGCAGCAAAATGTGGCTGATGTCATTCAAAAATTTCAAAGAACCTTCACTGTAACTAATACTGTGAGAATTCTATTATTTTAAATCATCAGAATTTCCAGCATATACCTTCAAAACTTCAAATAACAATACCTGGAATTTTATTTTGATTGGTTGAGCGGATAGGAAATTAGTAGTTCATATCTCGAGAAAGTTTTTATGACCAATCTGATCGGATTAGGTCTTAAAACTCTAAGCTTGACAAACAGGCAACGTGTAAATTGTATTTTTTTGACTATGACAACTCTGCTTTGTAACTGACTTCTTTTTTCCAATATAATACAACCTTGACTGTTTGACCAAATTTTTTAGATGCAAGTCTGTGCACTTACAGGCATTATAATATATATTTTTTAATGTACACTGCTAAAAAAAAAATGGGACAGTTCTATATCTCCCGTTCTACTGGGCCGATTGACAAAATTCAAATTGCGTTCTTCATGTCTCGAAAGCGCGACTTAGGATATATATTAGATTTATATATAGCACTAATCTAACATAGGTATTTTGACACAAAATCGGACTTTTTCTGAAATAACATACCAATTTTTTTTACATATTTCGATTCTACGACTCAAATTACGCCTAAATATGAAATTTTGTAAAATTTGGAGCGAAATTTACGGAGAAATTCACAAATTTATGTTGGCACTTTTTTGTCAGTTTGCGCCAAGAATAGTTCACTTGGCGAACTTCTTAATATATGGCAACCTAGTTTCCTTTCCCGTGAGAGGAAAAAAAGTCACCATCGTTCCTTTTTTCCAAATAATATTCTTTATATTATATTTTTAATTATAACTTATTATTTTAAGTAATTTTTTCTTTTTCGAATTTCATTTTAATTGTTTAAGTTGCATTTTTTTTTTCGAATAACTGTTTTAAAAATTTCTATTTACCTATTCGAACTGCGTAAATAAAGGTGCAGCGTTTATTTATTTTTTTTTTCAAATAGTTTTCTTTATATATATTTTTTGTCATAGTTATTATTTTAGGTAATTTTTAAATTTTTATACTTTTATTTTAATTGTTTGTGTTGCATTGTCTCTTCAGATAATTGTTTTAAAATTTTCTATTTATTCCTTCGAACTGAGCATTTTAAATATATTTATTAATATAAATTTTCCAGAATTTGATTTTATTTATTTGAATTGCGTTTCTTTCGGAAGAATACTTTGTAACCCAGACTACGATGCGTTTGAAAACTGCATATATTAAAAGAGAAAATACAGTAAAGCACAGTTTAACACGCCTTTCAATGTTCCGTTCAGAAAAGATATATATAAATAAGAGAGATGTATAACCGACATTTTAACTTAGGATGACTTGCATACACTGCTTTTAAACAGTTTTATCATTGTGCCCATTGCTTTACACAATTTTATCCTACATTTGGTTTCTTAAAATGTTATTCATATTTTAGTCAAATATTTTATTTTTGAAATCGCAAGAATCAAATATCATAAAATTTTAAAAGTTTTAAATTTAAAAAAAAAAAAATACAAATACTAAATTTTACGCAAAAATTTATTTTTCTTCTCTTTTTCTTCAGGCATTCTACTTTATTCTTGCTCTTTTTCTTTAGGCATTCTGCAAGCATATTAAAAAGCATTCAACTTTTCGAAATATCTTCGTATTTCAGACAATCATTTTAAATAAAGTTATCGCCTTCCATTTCATAAAGACCCACAAACGGCCGAGTGGTAAAGTCGCTGAACACTGGTAGTTCACTCCGGGGTTCGAAACCCGGTAAACGGGCTGGTTGCATGGGCGTTTTCGTGGATTTTCTCATGTGTACCGTGTATGACAGCTGGTTTCCCTTAGAAAGTTCTTCACGAAGTATTTGGTCAGAGCCTTTATCAGTCTTTAGAGGCTAAACATTTTGAAGGTATGAGATGAAAGGAAAGACTGGTTTCATCAAGAGGTTTTGGTTTATTTAATTATGACAAAGCACACTAGGGCTATCTGCCTAAGGGAGGGATGCCTTCGTGGAGGACTTTCTAAGGGAAACTGGCTCGCATACACGTTACACATGGGGAAAACCACGAAAACGCCCATGCAGCCAGCCCGTTCGCGGGATTCGAACCTCGGACCGAACTACCAGTGTTCAGCGACTTTACCGCTCGGCCGCTGTTTCATCAGGAAGGAAAAAAAAATCTTTAGGTGACATCCACACACATCACTGGATAAACTCCTGAATCTTCAAATAATTCGACTGAGAAAATCATGGGATTCTCCATTTATGATACGATATGATGTTCTATAACGTAATTTAAATTTATACAATCATATAGTCTAAAACCAGTCGCTCTTCAATCTGCAATGATATCGTTTTTGTCTTTTCTGTTAACACAAGCTCAATTGATGGTATTTGCTGGTGTACACGTCCAAGTGTTTTCTCTTTGAACACCTAAATTCTTTGAAGTATCCTGAAAGTATATTCAAAAGCGTCCAACTTTTTGAAACATCTTGGTATGTCTGACAGCCAAATTTCCCTGCAAATTTTTGCTTACTTTTCTCCTAATTTCTTCTTTCTTTCTCCCTAATTTTTTCTTCTTTCCTTCTACAGTTATTTTCAGTGCTCACACAAGAAAATTAAGATTTTTCGATTGCTAGACTTCCATAAATTTTGCATTCTTGTCAATTTTTTAAAATATCAATTACATGAATTGCGTTTCAGCTGAAGACAGCTTTTCATTTTCTAGTCATTTTAACTATAAATAAAGTTTAAAGCGAAGTCCAAAGGATAAATATTTTAATTAAAAGATTTTTGCTAAATGACAAAGAAAATAAAAGTCCAGCAGGGTTTATTCTGTACCACCGAGTGACCCGATTCTTATATCGGCTGAAACAATCTAAATCATATTAAAGATCATGTTTTTTTTATACAATCTATAACGCGAGAGAAAAATTAGCTTCTTAAAACATTCTTTCTAAGAGAATTAATATAAAAGATTATATTTATATATATTTTTAAAGCTGGGACTTGAACCAAACTGTCAAACTTTTAAAGTTTAATTTACATGGTGGTTATAATTAAAGTTTCAATTTGAAATGGTCATAAAAGGAAAACTACCGGACCAAATGTTATCAAACTAAAAAAAAGAGTTAAAAAACTCACCACCAGGGAAAATGGCGCTGTATACAATATTGTTAAATGAAATAAGACACGAAAACATCTGTTTAAAATGTGTTTAATATTTTCCGAAACGTGTTACAAAGCATGTTCAATGTAGCGTCCAGCATTTTCCGAAAGCAAGTTAAATCCTGTTACTGCATTCTCAACAGCAGCTCTTAGCATATCAGGAGGAATGTTACGGACATGTCAGTGTATCACATTTTTCATTTCTGCCAAATTGTTTAGATTATCACCATAAACAGTGCTTTTGAGATAACCCCATAGCCAAAAGTCACAGAGGTTGAGGTCTGGTGGGAAGAGGGGAAGTGTTGGCCTATAAGACGTTCATTCGTGAAATGTTGCCTAAGTAACTGTGCGACACACGTGAGGTGGGGCCCAGCCCTGCATAAAAATCGTAGTATCTAAAATGCCACGTTACTGCAGTTCATGTATCACGAAACATTTTAACATTGACTCTAAGTGAGCTGCAATCACAGTGGTCCAGCTGTCGACTGCTCTTCAGAGAAAAATGGTTCAGTTATAAAACTAGCTGTCATTCAACACTAAACGGTGTGGAATGACTGCTATGCAATCGAATGCAGTAGGAGAATGCAATGGAACTAGATAGATAACATGAGGGATTTCTTTGGCCCAAATCGATTTAAAAGCGTTTTGAATCAGTATCTTCATGTTTTAGTGCCGAATTCAGGCTTCAAAAATTACAAATTAGCGATCTGTAAGAAAACGATTTCCAGATTGTACGCACTTGTGCGAGTGATTTGCGATCTCACATTTTCTAATCGCTAATTCGTGGTTTTCACGGACGAATTTCTCACTTACACGGATGGCGCACTCGACACTTTTATCGAATTTAACGCCTTTAAATGGTAATTTGCCTACTTCAAAGTTTCTTAAGGGTATACAACATATTAAACCCGTTGTAACAAAAGGTTAAGTTAGATTCCGACCCATATTTCGTTTAACAATATTGCATACAGCGCCATTTTTCCCCCTGGTGGTGAGGTTTCGAACTTCCTTTTTTTCGCGGAAAATAAATTCCCATGACCTCCTTTACACGATTACCAAGTTTGATAACATTTGATCCAGTAGTTTTCCTTTTATGACCGTTTCAATGTGGAACTTTAATTATAACCACTCTGTATATTATTAAATTTTAATATGAAGCTATGCGTTATATGTATACCATGCGTAAATTTTTCGCTTTTATGGAAAAATAAAGAATCGAAGCAAATATACTTAGGAAAATGGACCAAAACTGAGAAAATTTCCCCTTCCTCCGAAAATAAAATATTGAAACTCCGACCTTGAATTTATTGGGTTATCGAAATATTTAATTTGATTTAGTATATATTCACTGTATGTTAATAAAGTAATCAGAGTGTAATAAAAATGGATTATAGAATTTACGCTGATGCAAATTTTGGTCTGACTGCACAACATGTAATGGAAGAGAAGGCTTGTAGAGATCTGGGTGTTTTCGTGGTTTTCCCCATGTGTAACGTGTATACGAGCTAGTTTCCCTTAGTACGTCCTACATAGGCATCCCTCCCTTTAGGCAGATAGCCCTCATGTGCTTTGCAATAATTAAATAATCCAATCCTTAATTAAATATAATTGATTTGTAAACTTCTACTAGAACTGACGGTAAGAATTGAAGTGCAAATAATAATATCGTGTGCAATCTTGATTAATATAAAATTTAAAAATTATTGCAATGAAAATATTTGCATTCAGACAGAAAGTTTTTTTTTTGAAATATTTGCAATTACTTTATAAGAAGGATTTATTAATAACCGTAATAATTACTTATTATATTACTGATGATTAGGATTCAGTTCTTGACAATTACATTCTAAATTAGAATTTTAAGGATATAATGAAAATACGCTACGCACAAAAAATACATTTTAGGATAAAAATGAGTTGATTTTTTATGTTTTAAAACTTCTTAAATTCATTTAATAAACATCGTATCCTCGTTGTTAATTGAATCCAGAATGTTGGGGTGTCGTTTATATAATTATTCTTACTTGTCCACAGAATCTGCTGACTTATCCAGCCATTAAGTAGCTGCAGATCATTTCTACATAACCATTGAACTTCCATTAATTCAGTCTCTAGAGGGTTGTATGTTTATATCATAATTTGACTTTTATAAAAATGATTATTCTAAATCTTATGTTTCTATAAAAATATACTGTGCTTTAAAAATATGGATGATAGTATCAGCCGCTCTTTCAGCCACTTCAAAAGCAACAGTTTGTTTAGAAATAAATTATGCAGTTAATGTCATAAAATTCAAATAAACATCAAACGAAAATTCTCAGTTTTAGACAATTCGATTTAAACGAAATAAAAGTAAGTAGTAGCAGACGATAAAAAGCCGAAGGTAAAAATTTACTCTTATTAAAAAAAAAAAAAAAAAAAAAAAAAGATAGAGAGAAATTTAAAAAATAGTTAAAAATTTGAATAATATCATCTATAATTTAAAAAAAATAGCTTTTCATATAGTATTAATAAATATTTATTACGCATCATTGAGGGAAAAAATGTCATATAATTAATTCTCCGTAAAATTTTACTTGAAATTTAAGGTTAAAAATAGCTGTGGCAATTCACTGTAACAAAAATCCATAGACCACATTTGGCGTTATTATCGCTCAAAAAAAAGATGCCAAATTTCAAAAACGCGAAAATATGTAAGTTCGTGTATATCTTAGAAAATTTTGAATAAAAAAAGTATAATTTTTTGCAGATATGCTTAAAAATACACCTACTTTAAGATGATGGTAAAAATTTTATAGGTTATAATTCAAAATTTTTTTCGAAAAATTTATAAAAATTATTTAAAAATAGAAATTTAAAAAATAAAACACAAAAAATGGGTAAATTTTATTTGGAATGAACCTAAATTTCGAAATGTGAGAGAAAAAATCAAAAAAGTTTAATAAAAAAAGAGATATTAATAAATATTTGCCAAATTCAATTAACATTGAGGAGCTAAAATTTTGAGAGCTAATATTTTAAAAACTACTCGTACGATTTTTACAAAACTTGGTATTCTGGCATAATTTGAGTCGTAGAATCGAAATATGGAAAAAAATTGGTATGTTTTTTCAGAAAAAGTCCGATTTTGTGTCAAAATACCTATGTTAGAATAGTGCTATATATAAATCTAATATATATCCTAAGTCGCGCTTTCGAGACATGAAAAACGCAGTTTGAATTTTGTCAATCGGCCCAGTAGAACGGGAGACATAGCACTGTCCCATTATTTTTCTTTTTTTTTTTTAAGCAGTGTACATTATTTTTCTGCTTGGCAGTTGAAGTGAAGTAACTACTATTTTATATAAAATGGTATTGGTAAAATGGTAACATATAAAATGATTATTTCTGAATACCACAGTAAAGTATAATACACTAATACACAGAAACTTACAGGTACCCACATATCATAATATGATATGCGGTAAGTGGAGGATAATCCAAGCCCCAGTATAGAAGATCATTCTTGGTGGAATTTTTGTACCTAAAATCAATAAAAGAAAATTATAATTTAAGTCATATTACAGCCTACATTATTAATAATCCTATTTAAATAATATCTACATTTACATGCAAGTAAAAGTAAATTTCAGAGATGAAGATGGATGTATTCAATTTTTGAAGAATACAATGCTAACTTATGTCTCAAGATATACCAATTAAAAAAAAAAAAAAAAAAAAAAAAAAAAAAAATGATATTAAAAAAAGATAATATTATATCAATACTATTTCAAGTTCCTATCAAAAAGAATTAGTCCCTCAATGTAGACTGATGTATATGTGTTAAATGAAAGTAAAAGCCAATAAGAACATCATGTTAATTTTGAGCATAATTTCAGAGGTGACAATTTTTCCTTGCAACCCAATGTATTAAAGCAACAGTCCTGATGCAGTTTGATGATTTTTTTAAAGAAAAAAAAAAAAGACAAAAACTGTAGTAGATTATTTACTACATACAAACATTTACATTTTAATTTGGTATTTATCTTGAATATCGATAAGTAAAGCTGCTTACAAGCAGGTTTTTGTTTTATATTTATTTACTTATTTTAGTCAAAATTTTGTGGTTATTCCTTTAAGAATATAACCATTGTTCCCTTTACTGATTTTGCAGCAAACTACTGTATTCCTGTAGTAAATTTAATATTTCATTACAAGCTAACCCACAAGCATATACACTGACTACCAATAAGTATTTGGACACCTATGCAAATGACGATATCTGCAGTCCTAACGTACGTCACGGACTCCGCCAGTGTATATCGTGTAGGAAACAGCATCAGCTTTAGTCGCATGCAAGATGCCTCGCAGTTCGGAGCTCTCCGATTTCCATAAAGGTATAATTATCGGGTATCACAAATATGGCTGATCCTTAAGGGACATATCTAGCGATCTAAAGTACCCAAAATCGACAGTGGCCTATGTGATTAAGAAGTGGAAGGTGAGCGGTAATTGTCGGAATGTGCCCCGAGTCGGCAGACCAACGAAACTGGGAAATAGAGACCGACGACTGCTGTCCAGAGAAATACGGAAGAACCGCACCCAACCGATTGCCCTCACCCACGAGGTGTTTCAACAGGCATCCGGGAGTATTGTTTCAATGAATACCATCCGTAAGGAAGCACATCTGCTTGGTTTTCATGGTCGTGCTGCTGCCCATAAGCCTTTGATCACAAAAATCCAACTGTGCTGCTTGGTTAATGTGGTGCAAAGCACATCGAAATAGGACCGTAGATCAGTGGAAACGGGTTCTTTGGAGTGACGAATCAAGGTTCACCCTTTACCGTTCAGATGGCAGGGTCTGGGTCTGGCATCTACCTGGAGAACGTCTCCTGCCAGAATGCACTGTGCCAACAGTCAAGTTCGGCGGAGGTGGAATTATGGTCTGGGGATGTTTCTCCTGGTATGGGCTGGGATCCTTGGTCCTCATTCATGGTAAGCTCAACTCCGATGCCTACTGCACTATTTTGGATGACAATGTGCTTCCTACGTTGTGGCAGTTTTACGGGTTGGACCCCTGTTACTTTCAGGATGACTATGCCAGTTGTCATGTTTCGACGTTAACCAAGGCTTGATATGGTGTCAATGGAGTTCATCGAATGGACTGCCCTGCCCAGAGTCCAGACCTGAGCCCTATCGAGAACCTCTGGGACGAGTTCCATCGCCGAATTCAGGGGTGCACTACCCGTGCAAAATCGGTGAAGGAACTTCTATGTCTTCTCCAAGCCGAGTGGAAGAAAATACCACTAGCTGTCATACAAAGACTTGTGGAAAGTATGCCCCGGAGGGTCCACGCTGTAATTACCTCTCGTGGAGGTTCTACCAACTATTGATTTTGAATAAAGTTAGATTTCCTTTCTATCACAGGTGTCCAAATACTTATTGGTAGTCAGTGTACTTTAAAACAGAGTTTAAAAAAAAATTATTACGATTTATTTTAAAAAAAAAATTAGAATGTGGATTACAACAATAAGAATGCATTTCAAAATAGCAACATTACTTGTTAAAAATTAAGGATTGAAATATGGTTGTCTGAAGAATTGTTATGTGGGCTCTTAAAGTTTGGTTGAAAGTTTTGATCTTAGCTTAAAATTTAAAATTTTGGCTGAAAGTTTTGGAAATTTTGTGACTACTACAGTACAAAATTATCTAATACCCAGATTTCATGCCATCATTTTTTTTTAGACTTTTTCATATGTGCTGAATGCACGCACGGTAGACAGTTTTCCTTAATAAAGCATATAAAGGGACCGGGTTTTTAAATTCACTTCAGCACCAAGTAAAACTCCTTCGTGTTGAAGAAACAAAAAAATCTGTATATGATCAATAATTTGGCTCAGGAGTAGCCTTACTGCTTGGCATACATCTCAAAATTAAAACATTATATTGCTGATTTTACGCCTACTGAATACCAAACAATCCTTACGTCAACCTAGAGAATTATTTTTTTATGACTGTCAACTCCCGGCAGCTTGAGAAATGACTTACACGGCAATGTCTAAAATAATTCTTATTTTAAATATCAGTAATCGAAAACAAAACAGCACAATAACATTTTATGCTGATATAACACCGGGTGACAATTACAAACTTCAGCCAACTGTGCTGTGAAGTGTCAAATGTATTGACATGGAGAAATTTAAAAGAAATTTCTAAACACAGATTTTCTAAATGATACTCATTGGTTATTTAGTGTTGTTTGAATTTAGAAAAACTGATTTATTGTTCTGATAAAAATCTCTTTTTGGGACGTGGCAGATGATGATCTACTGGCCATCACCTGCCCTGCGGTGTGTGTTGTTTTGCTATCTATAAACTATTCTTACAACTCGAATTTGTTTATGACCATGAAAAAGTACCACCTTCAAAATGTGTGAGAATTTATTTTATTGGAAGCCAGATAAGCCTTAAGCGTACATGAGAAATAGATGTAAGTATATAATAGAAAAGTACGTAAAAAAGTATTGCTGCCTGTATATGGCATTCAGATCTCCCATAGAAGGTGTTGTAGCACCCATCAACTGTGTGAGAAAAGTTTCGATTTGAGCCAGAGTTGGCGTGGGTTTTGAGAATGTAGTCTAAAGAGCTGTGTAACTGTACTATGTAATATAATGTACATAATTAAATGTGTTTATTTAAAATGTGGAGCAATTTTGAAGGAGCGTACTTCACATTTTTTTGGAGAGGAAATGGTCTACGCACTATTTGATTCGCTTCAAATTCGCACAATATGGCACCGTGCTTCAGCAAATATTAAAATAAATGACCTAGTAATCATTAAGGAAGATAACTCACCCTCCTTAAAATGGAAACTGGGACATATCACCGAAATTTACACAGTTAATGATTACAGAGTTAATCTTGTAAAATTAAAAACTGCTGATGGAGAATTCAAGAGACCCATTCACAAGCTATGTGTATTATCAATAGACAGTTAAGTATCATGAAAAATTTTGAACTTTAACTTGATATTCATTTTGAATTTTTGAAATTTTAATGTTACTATGTTTATTAATTAGTTATGTTATTAATTTTGTGTAATTCATTGTTTACATCTATATGTTATTTTAGGCTTAGTATTACTCATTTATATACATGAACTATTTAATATAGAAATTATATGTTTACTAAGAATAATATAAGTAATAATTTCATGTAAGAGGTAGTTTGATGTCTTAAACAGTCATCCATGGGGAGTATGTTCAGATTTCCTATACAGGGCGTTGTTGCATCCCTCAACTGTGTGAGAAAAGTTTCGATTTGAAGCAAAGTTGGCATGGGTTGTGAGAATGTAATGTAAAGAGCAGTGCAATGTTCATTTGCTATGTAACTGTACTATGTAGTATAATGTATATAAATAAATGTGTTTATTTAAAATGTGGAGCAATTTTGGTACGCTCGTTCAAACGCTTTTTGAAGGAGCGTATAATGTAAGTTCGTAACAGATTGAATGCACAAGTCTGATAATAGGTAAATAAAATTTATTCTTATCAAAAGAAATATATCAGAATGCTGGAATTTTCCTCAGAGAGTAGTACTTCGTACAAGTGTTCACAATATCAAACAAGTCATACTTAACTACTAAAAATGTTAAAATACAATGGCAACACTATATAAGAAATATTCCCCCCCCCCTTCAACGTGCGAGGCTACGTTTCGGAAACTCTAAAGATATACTCATTTTAAAATTATTTTGTGATATTGCTGTTGAATTGAATTTTATGGTTTAAGTGCGAAGAACATGATATTTAATAAATAAAGGTAACAAGCAGACTGTTAAAAAAAACTACCCCTTTGGGCGTAATATAAAATCTGAAAATTTTCAGATTTTTATATTATTTATTTATTTATTTAGGTGGCCTTTCCAGAGACTGACTGTCTTGGATTTATTTATGTGTACAAATGCAATTCTAACGTGTACATCAGTTATACATAGACATTACTGTTCCCATGTTAACTTTATCTGTAAACTTTCTAAAGATTCTTAAGTTTGTTGTCCTTTTGTTGCTGGATTTTGCAAAGTTTTTGGACTTAAAATTGTTTTCTTTGTAATTAATGTCTTGACCCAAGTGCTGGACTTTTGAGAATGACGTTTCTTGTTTTGCTTATATTGTGAGTGGAATTAAGCCTGCTAGAACATTTATAGCATTTATAGATGTTATACCATATGACCAGGTGATGGTTAAGGTGAATGGGTGTTTTATCACAAGCAAGCATTTGCTTTTCACATTGGAAGGTACCAGATACCTGCAGCACAGGTTATTAATTTTTCTATTACTGTATCGTAAAGAAGTTTTTATAGATTTGCCTGCCCAAATGGCTCCTCATAGCTGTCTAATCTAATTGCGGCTGATGAGAGTTTGCATTTTAAACTATAGGACATGAGCAAGCCAGTTAAGTTTTTTTTTTTTCTCATGTCAATCATAGATATTTCAGTTCGCTTTCAAATTTTGTGTTCTTTCTGTTTAATGATATGCATGGTTTTTCTCTTTTTTGGGGGGGGGGGATTAATATAGCTGCTGTTGTATTTTTCAAAACTGTTAATTTGATGTTCGTACAGAGTTTCATAGCAGGTGATACGGTTCCACTTCCTCGTTTGTCACTGTCATTGCTTGTGTTTCCTTCAATCAGAGGTGGGATGTCATATGTAAAAGTAATTAGTTTTTGTCCAAACGCTGCAGAACCTGATCAAACAGAAATTATTACAGTCTGGCTATTAATAACCACCATATTATTTCAAAGACTATGTTCTGCTTTACCAGCAAAAATCCTTTAATGATTTAAAAAATAACCAATCATCCAGTTATACGGAATGTTGAGTTATCAGCAGTCGAATTTGTGGGTCTCTTTGTATTATGGAACTTCACTGGACTTGTCACGGAATTTTAAATATATGTTTTTTTTTAATTTTACTTCCATTTTCAATGTCTTATTTATGTTAATCAGCATTTTTAGTCCAAAAGAAGTTAGCCAGAAAGGGCTATTAATTTCATTTTGGCATTTTGCGTCGATTCACTTTTTGCATTGATTCGCTTTTCAAACCGTTGCAGCCCTGTATTGTGATTATAATAATAACATATCCTTCTACCATCAACAAATGTTAATACACATAAAGGATATATATTAAAACTCCATAAACATCAGCAATTCTTAAGGTTGATAGGGCAAGAGTTAATTGCATTTTCTTAATTACATCCACCCCTATGCATATAATTCAAGCTTCTATGCTAGGTCCACATTCTCAAGCTCATAGCATGCTAGCATGCATATATATGTGCAGTATACCGCTCAGATGTATATTCTCAAGCTCCTATAATCTTCTACTCAAGCTCAATTCAGGCTCTTATATTGTTGCTTTTAAATGCAGAAGGCAATAGGATTATATCCATTTAACTATGTTTATCCCCATCTTCCCTCACATGTTACAATTACGTCCAGGTAAAAGATATATTCAAACAGCTAAAAGTATGGATATTAACTAACAACTCATTCAGCAACTCCTAAAACCCAAAAATCATGTATTAATGTGAGGGAGGGAGATATACTAGTAATGAAATTTCAGCTACTTGGGTAACGAGCTGACATTTACTCGTAGGTGACTAAACAATACCAGCTGTAAAAAAGTTGTTACACAAAAAGTCTTTAATAATTCATATATATTTACCATTCATTAACAGGAAGATTAACAGTTATTTCCATCCAATGCCGCTGAGCTTCATAATCACCATACATTGGAGGCTTTCCAGCACCTGCAATTTTAAACTTTTTTTAAAAAAATGAGGTTTGCTCAGCACAAAAAGTAAAATTTTAAATACATTTTTATATGTAAATAAGCATTATACATAAGTAAATTCAAAAAAATATATTTATAAACATAAATGAACAGAATGTGAATTTGGGAAAGGTACCATATATGATACACATAGATGGAAGAAGAAATTAGGTCTCTTTTTCCCCTATTGTTCTGCAGATAGCAGATTACATTCAAAAACAGATAATAGAAAACATCTATATGCCATCTAAGAAAGACAGCCTCTTCTGTTAAGATGATAATTAGCAAATATAAATGTTGGCGCAAAATGCAACTAGAGGTAACTCTAAAAACACATACAGCTTCACTAAAAGAATAATAATTTGGTTAAACCTGGAATAAATGAAAAATAAATAAATAAATAAATAAAAATACAAATAGATTTTATCAGATTAATTTCATATTACATAGGAGGTTTAAGGTTAATTTTTGTTTAACATTGGTGAAAATATTAGTGCTTTTTCATGCAGTCACTGTCACAGTACAGTTCTGGTGATTATTTTCCCACAACCTTACAATAGTTTGCTTCTTTCCACAAGTAAATTAAAAAAAAGTTGGAAACAGCAATTTTACTAGAATTAACTAAATTTTACATAAATTTCATTGAAAAGATTCTTTTTGTCTCTATTTGATGATGCACTGATTCATTTTACTGTTAACAGTAAAATTCTGAGAGTTTTAGATTGTTTATTAAATGAAGATATGTGCCAAAAAAAATTATTCAACATTAAATTTAAAAAAATTTTGAATCTAAAAAATCTGAAGAGCTTTTCTTCTCAGAATTTTTTTATTTAGATTGCAATGTTTTACAAGCATAAGGGCAGTGCTTCTAAACTTATCTAGGTACTTATGTATTATTGCAACCACCTTGACAGTTCAAACTCTGGCAACCATGTATAATCATTCTTCGGGCAAAGATGCTCATAACAGTCCTCCAATCAAGCTATGTACCATTTTTGTACGTGAACGTTCTCTTACATTTTAATTGTTTTTATAGACAAACCATATATTTATGCTTGTGGAATTTGTCAGCAACAGAAGAAATTGCACTAAAATTTCTACATGAATACAGTATTTTACCAAAAAAATCATTAAAGGGAACATATCTGTTCTGAATCTTCTTTAAAATGATCACCATGAAATTTCTACAAAAAAAAAAAAAAAAAAAAAAAAAAAAAAGGAGAAGAAAAGAAAAGAAAGAAAGAAAAATCTCTGTTTAGCTTTGACCTTGACGGAAGAGGATGTGTATCACTACTTCATCAACTGTTGTTTGGATTCAGGGATGATATGAGATACCCATGTCTCATCTGCAGTAGTGATTTGACTCACTATGTCATCCCCTTCTTTCTCGTAACGAAGCAAGAAGTCCAATGAACTGGCCAACCTCACTTTGTGCTCCTCTGTGAAGAGCCTGTGTACCCAACGAGAGGACAATTTCTAAAAATTCAGGTTTTCAGTCACAATTTTGTACATCACTGACCAAAAAATGTCGGGAAATTCCAATGAAAGAGTAGTTATCATGAATCTTCTGTTCTCACGAAATTTTGTTTCAACTGCATACACCAAATCATCAGTAATTACAAAGGGCCAGCCTAAGCATTCTTTGTAATGGACGTTTATACGCCCAGCTTTAAACTCCCTGACCTATTTTTGGACTTTACTATCAGTCATTGTTTCAGTGCCATAAACTTCTGTTACCTGGCAATGAATGTCTGAAGCCAAGATGTTCCTCACAGTCAAAAAATGGATAACAGACTGTATCTCACACATGGTGGGTGATTCAATCACCTTAAACATTTTAAAGATGCACAGTGAAGCTTACACGACTGCTACAGAGCTGAAACTGGAGCGAGTTTATTCAAAAAAAAAATGCTGGTCAGTGGCGCAGCGACTCATTGCAGCATACATGCCAAAGAACCTTACTTAAAAAGCAGCCCTCGTAAATATTATATAATCTACGCAATACAAAAAGGAAACATCGACTTAGCTTATTTTGTAAATTCTGTTTCTTCGGTATGTGACATGCAAATGAACATTTTTCCGCCTTTAAATTCCTTAATAGCATCCAAAAACTATTTAAAATTATCTAAACATTGCCATTGCCAAATAAATTCACAAAAGTAAAAATGAAAAATATTATCTGTACTGACGGACTGTAAATGGCATTTTTTTAGAAAATCCTTTTTTATTACACCCCACATACCTCCCATAATGTTGATAAGAGCTCAGGTTTCCATATCCTTTGATCTCACTGCGTAATTTACCAAGAGGTGAATGAAGCCATTTAAATCTTCATTTACATACCAGTCAATCAATGTTTTCTTTCTCAGTCATTCTAAGGTGTACAGAAACTTCAGGTTAATCATGCCACCAGCAGGTATTTTACAGTGTCAAGCACAAAAAAAGCAGTGTACCTCCTAACCAACATCCAACACATAAATAAGCCCGTACAAATATTTTAGCACCAGTCAAATTCAGTGCAATCATGCAACCAATCACGTCATAATAGGATTTCCATAACATTCAGCTACCCAGGTTACCATAAATGAAACAACTTGGCAATAATCCAAGCAATACCCTAACATATAGACTAACCCTCCGCATATTTGGAGCTTATCTTTCACACATGCCAAAATGCATGTCAGGTTCATAATGAAAAATTTTTCAAGTTATATCATTTACAAATTACAACTAAGCAAATGGAATTTTAAGAATATATTAATGTTTAATCATAAATGAAAAATTTTACTGAAATAAAGCAATACATTTTTATTACAAACAAGAATTAATTTTTAAAAAATCAAATAAAAAGAAATTATTAACGTGAACACAGCAAAGTTTTTTACTTTTATCACTCAAATCATATTTTGCTTTTAGAAATGTTTAGTTTCAGGTTTGTTTATATTTTTGTTGCTATTATAAAAATGTTTTGCGCAGTTTTCTCTATTTCTATAAATTTAATAAAAATAAGACGTTCATAAATATTTTACCTGTACACTTGATTCAAAATATTTTATATCGAAGACTGCTATAGCTATACAATAATAAATACAAAATGTTCCTTACTGATACGATTTCATTAAAGCAACCACTCGTTATAATACCCTCTCTTTTGCTGAACGTCAACTGCATATTCTATACATAACATCAAAACTGATCATCAGTTCAGTTATGAAAGAACTGATCATCAAAGAAATATCATTCATGTCGTTATATTTAAGCTGCTGCTCTGTTCGATGATAAAACCATTCATGTTTTTAAAGAAAATTTCATGTAATTTAAACTGCCCACGGAAATACTTTGATATTTTTGAGAAAGATCTTTAAAATTTTCATTCATATTCATATCCACATTTTCAAAAATATGACTATTTTATGACAGTTAATTTACAATACACATGTTTAGGTAAGCCTTTACTATGAATACAAAGCTGTAAAGCATGAAATTGAAACAACCAGACGATTCTGCACAAAAAATAAACAAACTTACCAGAATAAGGAAACCGAGAAACCGCCCAACGTATAATGATTGAAAGCAACACACCAAAATGTAATATATCATCTACGCCTTTAATAAGCATTCTTATCAGCTTTTATAAACTATTATATAAATAAAATCGGCACTCTACGACTTCATTACAATATTAAACATAATTTGCCCTCACAGCGTTTAAAACCAAGATTCAAATGTCCAACCGTTTAGTTGTCTACCTCCTACTAAGATTCTGTAGTCAACTAAAAATAATGAATTACAAGTAAGGAAATTACCATTATTATATGTTGCTACTATTAATTTTCCGAGAAACTTTCTTTCCTAATCAAAACTTTTGCATAGTTTTTTTGCTTAATACACTTTAAAGTTTAAAGAAGTTCTAATATATGGATATATAAAGGATTATGTTTTTTTTTTACATTCAATTATTGTTTACTGACGTTCCAGTTGAAGTTTCATTAAAATTTGATGATATCAGAGGTCGTACATTCCATTTTCCATATCTATTTCTGTCATTAAAGTTTCTGAAGCCAGACTCCAGATTTAAAGTTTCTAGGGCCAGCAACATCCGTAGATACGGGAGGCCACTAGAGAGCTACTATCATGCTCAAATATTAATAAAAATAGACTAAATTTCTGACGAAACAGTACTTTCATACTTCAAATTTTGAAACCTTGCGTTGGCTGAAATTCCAGCTCAGTTATTTAAAAATAAGAATGTAAAAATCGCACCTGTCTTTTCTTTGTTAGAATTGTAGCAATTTCGTGGGGCGTTAAACTCGCCTGGTGTTACAAAAGATCGCTGGAGGACGTTCCGAATTTAACCATCACATCGAGGCTGCGCCACTGCCTTAAGACCGAAGGAAGGGAAACTCACATTCAAGTTCTTTACTTCAGATACAATGCTCCGACAGTGGCGCCTCTACAGACAATTTTCATTGCCGCTATCGAAATGGAAGCTCCCAAAATATGGAATAGTTGCTGCAGGAAGTGCGTTAAACTTTTTATCACACGATGAAAACTCTGAGTCGTAGTCTATCATCGGATTCTTCCTAAATGAACATTTTTCCGCCTTTAAATTATGACGTCCTTTGCGGCAGCACAGGTTGCACTCGTTCTGGCGCTGTCTTGGGTTTCTATTATGTCAATATCCGAATCAAAACGTCGAACAAGCTACCCATATTCACTAGATAATCGCAAATGCCTGATTTCTTCAGTTTGTTCACGATTATGGCTTCTTTAACATTTTTCTACTTTTTAAACTTAAAACTTTTTTAACCTATTATGCTAGTTTACATTCAGAAAAGAGCCACAAATATAACAACACAGCAACCCATGTCAACAAATGCCCATATTAGTTCTCACTTCGTGGCAAAGCCAAAATACACAAAAGCTCAAAACATATTAATTAAAAATTGTAAAATACCAAAAAATCTAAAAACAATAAATACAGTTAAAAACCGTTAAAAAAGAATTTTTACAATTACAATTTGAGTTCCTACGGGAAAAGAAGCAATTCAGCCAGAGGACAGGAGGACAAAATTTTCGTTGCACAACACTGAAAGTTAACTTTCGGTAACAGTGGACAAAAAGACACCAAAGGTGGTGCACCAATTGACTTAATTCACTATTCTACTAAGAGTTTCAAATGTAGACTAATTAGGCTTAGCGCCAGTTAAACTTTTAAGTTGTTGGTAATTCTATAATTATTGCATGTAGATTAACTACAGGCATAAAAACCTTTACCGAAACATAGGAAGGAACATATGTTTCGGTATCATAAGATGAACATATTCAATCCTTTTTAAAGCAAAAAATGCGCAGTTAACTAGCATATAAGAATAATGTCAAAACAGTCCCATATACAAAATTTTAACGTTCTACAGCTACTCGTTTCTTGAGTTACGCGAGGTACGTACAGACGTCATGGAAAAAAAAAAAAAAAAAAATAAAAAAAAAAAAAAAAAAAAAAAAAAAAAAAAAAAAAAAAAGAAAAAAAAAAAAAAAAAAAAAAAAAAAAAAAAAAAAAAAAAAAAAAAAAAAAAAAAAACAAAAAAAAAAAAAAAAAAAAAAAAAAAAAAAAACTTCTGAATCCATTTTAAATCCGTTTTTTAAACAAAACAGTGATTTATTTTGTCCGTAAGTACAGATGTGACGCCAAAACATCGTTCAAATGTATTCAAGAATGGTCAAAATGGATATTTTCGTTGAAATGTGATACCCGAAGTTTTTCGCGATCCTTTACTTCGTATAAGGAAGTAATAAAAGAATGATTTCTAAACTACGTCAGGTTAGCTGCTCTACTGTGTAAATACCCAGTTAAATAGCTACTCTCTCTTTGCAATGCTCTTTCCTATCCATGATGAACTCAACATGTTCGATACTGGTGGGTTAACATGTTCTGTGTTTGTTCTTGAGGAGAAGCCCAAGCAGATTTTTCACATATGTTTCTGCAGTGCTCAAGTACCACTGAACAACGAAAGAAATGCCATCCTTGTCAAGTAACTCTTAAAAGTCCTTCTTTAAACTATTTAATACAGAGAGCGAGCCTCTTTTGTGATTAAGATTTATGACAGATATCTATGAAAATGAAAATACTCTGTATAATGTTTTAAACTATGTGTTCGAATTTCTATTGTATTATAATCCGTTATTTTATAAGATATTTGATTATCCAGTTTTTGTATTGTATTCCATCTGAGATGTTATTGTCAATATATACTTTAAATTGCATTGTATTATGATTATTTATGCTCTGATAGGATTTGATTTGCTTGATTTTAGTGCTGATTTCAATTTGAAATGCATTGTGTTGTGTTGATTATATTGTACATTATGTGTTGTACTGGGTTACAGGGAAGTGATGAGATACATTCTGCAAGAGAAGAAGAGGAAGTATAATCTTGTTTGTTTACATTAGCTACACATAAGTCACGTGATCTCTGAAGTCATCATCAAAGAATCAAATTACCAATAGCTATAAAACTAATTTATTACAAATATTATACATATTACCAGAAACATATACACTTAGACAATACAGAGCCTTGTACAATAATATGTGGAATGATGAGGTATGGAATCATAACTTTTAAAACTGAAATAACAAAACTATACAAAAATATTTGATGATTTAAAAAAAATCTTATTATTAAAAAAAAGTTAATATATATAGTTGATCATGACTTGCACTCTGCAAGTGTTATTATTTTAAATAACTTTGCAAAATAATAATAATTGCAAAGTGTAATTTAAAAATTTTAAATTGCAGTTTTACAATTGCAAATGTTCGCTTATTTCAATATTTCAAATCGTTTTAAACAACAGTATAATAAATCATTTTTTTAAAATTATTTGACAATTGTTATCATATTTATTCAAAACACATTTGATACCTTTAATTTCCCTGCTTACATACTAGTACTAACAATAATGAAATAAATCATTATATATCTTACATATTATTTATAGAGCTCAGAATCATTTCAAATTAAAGTTGACACATTTACAAGATTAAATACTTCAAATAAAAATTCTTCAAGTTTACACATTTTCTATAAAAATAATATTTATTTAACAGATCATATGAATTTTCAGATTTATTTTCATTTAAATCAACTAAATTTTTGTACAAAATTAACCAAAAGTAACACGAATATTTAATGTACAATATATACAAAATTCCTGTATACAACAGAAATGGAAATCGTAAGTTAGAAAATTTGGCAGTAGAACCATACGGTCGATGAAAAAATTCTTTGGTCTGGAGCTGAGAAATTTCATATAATTCATTGCAATATCGTTTATTGCACAGACTTAATGGACGGACGAACTTATAAGAAAGGCAGCTTTTAATTACAGTACTTAACACATGCAGAGAATAAATACTGCAAATTTTCTATCTAAAATCAGTTAAAAGTTCAGCTCTACCAGCTTACATTTACTTCAACAGTTAAATTCTTTTAGAGAAATTCACCAAGTTGTTTTCTGAGCAATGGCAACCGCGCCGGAACTGTAGTCATTTGAAGAAGAATCGTTTGCTTCTACGCCTGCGTACAATCTTGAACGCATAGGCCATTTCTGAAATTAAAATGGAAGAAATTACTTAAATTATTTTTTCCCTTAAATTTTTTTAATGAATATTGATGTAATAATATTACCGTAAAAAACCAAAAACGTTTACTGAAAAGTAAAGAAGTTAAAAATCAAACAGAAGTATTTAGTACTTTCGAGAGCTGTTTTGCATTTCCAGTACGTAAGCTTAAGGAAAATGTCATTGATCAAAAAGATGTTAAAATTTATTGATTTGGGAAAAACAGAAAGAGCTAAAAGATATAACCATTGTAAATGCAGCATTTTAAATTTTACTTTGATTCATATAAGTTTCATTTATCACTGTAAAGCACTGCAGGTTTTTATTGGAAGAAAAATAAATTTTTCATGTAGATCTTGTAGAAACATTAGGCTATTTTAGAGGAGGAGACGTGAAAAATGAGCAATGCCTTCGACGGAACTGAGACCTCTCGAATACGCGCCGAGTATGCTGGCCATTACACCACGAAGGCATGCTAAGAAAGTGGGAGAAATACCTTATATTCTCCACCTTTTAAAGATGACTGGGGATAGGGGACTCCATCACCAAATCCTGGTGGTAAACAATCATCATCCACCACCTTTCTTTAGTTCGAGAGCCATTGTAGAGACATTAAGATATTTTGAAGATGGAAGCGTGATAAATGAACAATGCCCTCGCCGAGACTCGAACCTTGGACTTCTCGAATACGCGTCAAGCGTGCTGACCATTACACCACGAAGTCATACTAAGAAAGCGGGAGAAATACCTTATAGTTTTTCTAAAAAACTCACGTGCAAAGCATTATTTCGGACATAGCATTGGAATATTGTCCTGTTTAAAATTTGTAAAAGTATTTTTCAGTTTCAAAAAATAAAGTCTTTGAGCGAACATTAAATCCTTTTTTTGTCACACCCTATGCGATCAGAAATTGACTTCACTGAGGTCACTAATCCGCTTAGGAAATGCATATCAAGCTACTTAATTCCTGCCACCAAGCGTGCAAGCACATGTCTATAAGAACTGTCGATGCAGAAAGGGCAAAAGAAGTGAAGTCAGTTATGTGGCTAACGCCTTCTGTTATGAATGTTCAGTTGTTAAGTTGAAAGACGCAAGAAGGGGACAATTCGTGAGCTATTCCTATAATTAAAAATTGAGTTTATTTTATTTTATTTTTTTTTTTTTTTCTTAAAGGGTATCAGAAACCCCTATACTGACAATGTTAAATTGGCCATTTTCGATGTACCTTTTCTCAAAATCTGCTGTAGATGCAAGCCTGAAATTTTTTCTGTAATTAAAGTATACCTATCTGATTATACTGAAATGAGCTTTTGAAACATTTTGAATTTTAGAGTAAATTACAGAATATTTTGTTAGGCATAGTAAAATTTAGCACTTTTCTCACACACAAAAAAATTAAATTTTTTTTTTCAAGTTTATTACAAAAAGCTCATTTTAGTAAATAATAGGGAACCTAATAAATAAGCTATAAAAAGTTTAGATACCTGTGAGCAGTAGTTCCTGAGAAAAGGTACATCGAGTATAAAAAAATCACGTTTGGAGAAAAACGCATTTTTATGTAAAAATCCTCATTGATAGAAGCAGTAGATGACAAATTAAAACTAGATTTTTTTACAGTTCTAATTTTCATAGAGATTAAAGAATGGTATTTTTAGAAAGATAAAAGTGTAAAGAATTTGAAAATGCAAAAATTCGAAATCACAATTTTATGAAGATTTTGGGGTTCCAACACACCTTAAATTCCCTATAATTTCGCAACTGATCGATGTGATGCATATTGTATAAAAATAGGTATGCATGGCAAATACAGGTACAGTTAAAAGTGAGAGGGAATATAGTCACCATTCGTAGTACAGGTGTAGTCTCGTCGCACTAACTATTAAGCTTCATTCCAATTTTGATGGAAGGAGGACATAACAAGTGCAATTCTCTTCCGATACAATATACATTATAAAAATTACTGTTATAAATTATTGCTATAAAAAATTACTGTTACTGTTATAAAAATTTGTACTTCTCTATAATACCAGTACAAGTGCAAACATATCATGATACGATGCTGTTATAATACTAGCGCAATATCATGTTAAATCTTACAATATCCATTTACAATGGATAGTATTAGTACTAGGAAAATAGTGTATTTAAATTTAGTCTTTGGCACAACTGGTGTTCTGTGAATCTCATCATCCAGAGAGATATCCGGTACAGCTGTACCGGCTCTCTATACCGCCTAGACCTGAGTAGTAGTGGAGTTTTGTTTCGTTTATTTGATGACAGCAATGCACGCTATGGCTATCTTGGAGTGATGACTTCGTAGAGGATTTTCTTAGGAAAATTTACATTACACATAGGGAAAATCTTGAAACCTAACCATGCAGCAAGTAATTTTGCCTGGGTTCGAACCTAGGACGAACTACAAGCATTCAGTGATCTTAATAACCACTCAACACTAGCGGAGCTTCAGAAATAAGAAGCACTTCCTTTTCTTAATAGCTATTTTGTTTTTCAGCATAATTACCGTATTTGACGGCATATAAGACGCACTTTTTTTCCTAAATTTGGTCTCAAAAAAGTTACCTGCATCTTATACGTGAAGGTAATTGCATTCACTAATTGTTTATTTGGCTTTTACGAAACGTGAGAACTAAAAGAAACCACGCTATTGAAACTTTTTTCCTTGTGTGTGGCCGTCTAAATAAGGGTGCGTCTTATATGCCAGTGCGTCTTATATGCCGTCAAATACGGTAATAACTTTTGATTGTTGATACTCTATGACAAAATTCACAATAACAACAGCAAAGACAACAGGAATAATAATAATAATAATTTTAAAAAAGAAAATCTGAAAGGTTTCAGATTTTAAATTACGTCCAAAGGAGCGGTTTTTTTTTAAACATTTTGTGTATTACCTTTGTTTATTAAATCTCATGTTCTTCGCACTTAAAACCATAAAATTCCAGTTCAACAGCAATATCGCAAAATAATACTCAAATGAGCACTATCTTTAGAATTTCAGATACACAGTCTCGCACGCTGGAGATAAAAATGTATTTTTTTTCCTGTACAGTGTTGCCATTGGCTCGCCTTGAAGTCGTTGTGAGTTTGTTAATCAAAAATTCGTTACACTTTTACAAAATATAAAATCGATCATAAAACAAATTGCTAAATTTCAAATTTGAGGCTTCCAGATGCGCATATTCGGGTCAGGAAACGATTACGCTCATTCAAAACTGGATGGCTCTAGGTACCGTTGTTTTTTTCGCCATGCGAGAAACATACATACATTTATGCAGATTCTTCATTATTTCATTTCTTCAAATATAATACAGGGCGATAACATAGGGTGGCAACAGTTTGAAAAGTGACACGGACATTCAGAGTGATTCGTCGCGAAACGAAAACTATAGTCCCACAGGGACAAAGCCCCTTTGGACTAATAATAATAACAATGTAATTTGCTTTAGGAAATTCTAGAAGATCATGAGCGGCGTGATAAAAAGCGATTTGAGTATGATCTGGCGGGGGAGGGAAAAGGGGAATTAAATGCTTCCTTTCACGAAAATACAAAGCTAGAAATTAAAATGTATCTGATCGATGAGATTTTCGACAGATTTTATATAAAAAATACAGTTCAGTGATCAAAACTTGAACAGTTAATAGAAAAGTGTATTACTGGTAGCCCCCCTATACATGGCCCTCTTTTAACACAATTTCCCTCTAATACGGTTTGAGGAATAGGGAAAATTCCCTTACCATATGACAAGACAATCCCTACAACATATTTCGCTTTAATATGGATCGACCAAGAACAAAGGAAATTGCAGTTAGCAAACACATATGGCAAAATTACTGATATTTACAATCGCATCATATTAAAATACTAAGTAAAATTAAGATAAATATGTAGAGTCATTAGGTTATTAGGCAGGAGAGGGGGGGGAATGTGAAATACCCTTGCCGGGATTCAAACTTGGACCTCTCGAATACACGCCGAGTGTGCTACCGTTATGCCATAAATATTACGTTATACTATACAGGCATGTTGGAAGGAGGGAGAAAATACCTTACATACTCCCCCTTTTAAAGGGCGACGGTACCCAATTGCCAAATCCTGGTGGTGACGTATTATTTTCCACCACCTTTTAGCTCGAGCGCTAGAGTCATTAGGTTATTCTGAAGCAGGAGACCTGAAAAATGTGCAATGCCCTCTCTAGGACTCGAACCTGGACCTCTCGAATACGCACCGAGTGTCCGAGTGTGCTACCATTACACCACAAACGCATGCAGAAAGGAAGGAGAAAATACCGTATAAATCATTCAGTCTTGCGCAGAGGCAGTGTCATAGCCAATGAGGTATTACCGAGGCGTGACTGTTGCTAGTTGAAAACCGTATAAATCATTGTCAGGATAAAATTAAAAAGATCAGAAGAAGAAAGCAAAAGAAATCATAACAGCAACATAAATGTGAAAAAGGGGCCAAGTTCGGGAGAAACGACGTTTGGTGTAGTCCGTGTCACCGACTAAAGTGTTGAGATCTAATGGATGGCAAGTACCATAGCAGTTCCTTTAATCATAGCTTTAGGAATATACAACGTTCTTCAATTCATTAAAACCTATTCATAGCTTTCTTTGATATCGGATTTCTAACTTGGCAAATTTTAATTGTCAACAAATTATGTTAAAAAAATTGACTTCTTCAATTGGAAATTCATTTAAAAACAATTTATTACTTTCTTTGATATCGGAATTGAATTCTGCCTTCGCAAGTTTTAACTGTCAATAAATTACGTTCAGAAAACTTAACTTCTCCAATTAGAAATAAACTTTGCATCATTATCATTACTGTTTATAAATATTTAGTAAATAAAATTTGAAATTTAGTTTGAAATGTTTATTAGAACAGAAAACAATTTCTCATTTTGGTTCAAAAGAAATTCGCCCGTTAGTTGCTTTTAGGTCTTGCATTCGGCCCGCATGCCAGTTTGACAGCACTGGTTTATGGGATTAATGGACATCCTAAGGAGATCCCGGAATACACTCCTCATTTCTCAAAGCACACCTTCCTGAGTGCTTAATGTCATATCCCTGTATATCCCCAGGAAATCTTCGCTAAATCCCTTAACAGTGTGTGGAATGCTGTGAGGATTGGAAGTCCTATTTACCACACCCTCAGAACATACCGGAATATTCTCGAATGCATCCCACTGAGTACTTAATGTTCAGTCGCAGAGTAATCTCTGAACATCGTCGAACAAATTCTAAAAATCAGAATCTCTAGAACTGTGAATAAACATCCTTCAAAAAGTTTCAGGCAAAGGCTCTCCGAAAAATGTCGAACTAATACTTTCAGGACATTTATCCCAATAGCGAAGTCCTCAAGACATCAGAGAATCAACATCCTTACATATTGTGGGGAGTAATAACAAGACATTCTGATGATGTTAAATTACCAGAATTTTAAGTCATCTGAGAATCAAAGTCCTGAGGATATCCTCGATGTGTCCTGGGACGTTGCTACTTAAACAAAACATCCCGGGAATATTCTGTCAGATTCAATATTAGTATCTAACACTTTCTTAATAAATTGTACAATAAATATATTGCCTCTAGTGTAGACTTGGGTGCCCCTTCGATTGGCGACAAATTTTGTTCAGTTTTGGTGATGAAACCTCATTTCTAATTACCACGATAGTTTTGTCTTGGTTTTAGCTTCCTGATTTGTTCAAGTGAAAATAGATCAATGTGTACATAGACAAAGTGAAGGTAGTGCGCAATGCAGAGTTTGTGCAATTCTCCAATGTTTTTTTAAGTGAAAATAGATAGATGTGTATACGGACACCGAGTTCCTGCAATTCTTTGACTTCTTATTTTGGTTTTGTGTACTGGCCATCTTGAAATTGTGTCTTCCTGGCGCCGATTTTGGCGTCAAAAAAGAATCACCAAAAAAACAAGGGACACACAATTGTAAATTTTTAACCATATATTTCTCTCAATTACGCAAAGAATACTTAGACAGTGTTCTGGACTAATCCCAATTCGGTGCTAGTTTTTCGATACATGTAACACGAAAGTGTATAACACAGCATATTTTAAAAATCTGACGACTGTATTATATAAACCTGTATACTGATAAATCCCATTTCGAGGGATTTTTAGTTAAGCAAAAACGTAAAATAAGCATACAGACCTTGACAGGATGCAGATAACTTTTTTCCCAGTTGGGATTTCTAATCTCTACTTCAGGGACCGGGCAGATTGAGTTCTCTAGGAAATCGAAATCCATATTTGAGATGCCATTTTCCTGCAATGAAACAATAAAAACAAATGTAGATTTTAAACAAACAAACAAAAAACCTCTTTTTGGCCTTAGAAACATCTATTCTCACACTGTTTCTAGTTTTAAAACGGAAGAGATTCGTTTTCCAAATTAGAAAACTGCTTTGCATACGAATGGAACAGTTTTAAAAAGCAAGATAGTGAACAGCGAGCAAAAACAATCAAGTGAAGATAAATTTATTTTTTAAATAATTTTTTTTCACTTGATTTTTTAATAATATGGCTTAAATGCTAAGATTTACAGTTTATTTAGCAGCTATTTCTAATGAATATTTATGCTACGAATTAAACTCATAAAAGAAATACAATTTCAGGTATCGTCTGATTGTTAGCCCAGAAGGACTATTAATTTCAAAACGGTATATTGCGTCGATTCACTTTTCAAACTGTTGCCACCAAATAATATCGGCATGTATTATATTTAAAGAAGCTAAATTCCTGAAGATTTATAAATTATAAAAATACTATTTTTAGAAATACATTAATATATTATTATCATATATTATTTATTAAGAAATACATTAATTCTATATTATTCCCATCAAAAATTCCGGGTTCCATACTCAAGGACCCCCATTCCGGATATGAATTCTTGACGTATTTATAGGATTCCTTGCCGGTGTGGTTAATTTACATTGGCCAAACTAGGAGAGCCTAAAATTTCGCGTCAAGGAACATGAGCATATGTTTAGAAAAAAGAAACACAGAAGTCTTCTGTTGCTCAACATTGTTGTCCGAAAATCACACTTTCAATTTTTCTGCTGCTAAAATTATTCAAAAAACATCTTCCATTGGAGAACTGGATTTTCTAGAGGCATTTCACATTCAAAAAAATCTTTCTATTCTAGTTAACGATCCTAATTCCAATTCATCTTTGCCTTCGGCCATTAAAGAAATTATGTTTTAGTTCTGGTTTCACCAACAGATGGCGCCACTTGCTTATTCTTGTCCAGGCTTTCTTATGTTATCTAATCATTATTTCCTATCTTGTTCATTTGCGGTTTTGCAGCTGAGGGTGGTGGTTCGGTAAAACCATCGAAACTAGTCCTGTGAAAATTTTGAAAATATAACGGTGATTTTTGTTGTTTGACTTCTGAATAAGTATTTATTCGAAGTGTTATTATGTCTTAAATACTATTATATCTAGAAATACTACCATGTATTATATTTAAAAAAATAAATAATTCATGCATGAATGCATGAACGTTTCTCGCATTGTGAAGAAACAGCGGTACCTAGAGCCATCCAATTTTGAATAACGTAGTCCTCCAACAGAATGTGGGCACCGGAATTTTGGATTCCGAATTTGTTTTATTATCTATTTAAAATTTGTAAAATTTTAACGAATTTTTGATTAACATACTCAACGATTTGAAAGCGAGCCATGGCAACACTGTACGAAAAAAAATTATCTCAAGCGCGCGAGACTCTGTATTAGAAATTCTAAAAAATAGGCTCTTTTTAAAATTATTTTGCGATATTGCTGTTGAATTGAATTTTATGTTTTTAAGTGCGAACAACATGATATTTAATCAATAAAGGTAATACACAAAACGGTAAAAAAACGCCCTTTCGGGCGAAATATAAAATCTGAACGCTTCCAGAATTTTTATTTTTTACTTAAAAATTTTCTTGTTTTTTTAATTTGTATTACTCTAATGTTTTATAGTTGCTATTTATTTATGTTCATGTTTGTAATCATGTTGCTTCAAAGAGCTGTTTTTCTTCTCCAGTCGCCAAGCTGGTACTTCGAGATTTTAAAAAAACTATTGCAATCTTCCCTACATGCTCTTTTGGTAGAAGCGGCTATCATATACTGGAAGACCCGGGTCCGAATCCTGTCAGCGTTATATAACTGATTTTTATATTTCCTTGAATTTTCTCCCACCTTATCGCGGGCTTTCGCGGTGCAGTTAGAACACGCTCGACTAACAATTGAGAGATCCGGAGAAGACATAGCACAGTTTTTACAATTTCTGACAATTTTCCTGTTGCAAAACGAAGTACCCAATGGTCTTTGCATCATACATCCATATGCCAATGCCAATAATTATAGGTTACAGAGTGCTATGGTTCAAAACCATGTACCTGCATATCAGAAAAAAAAAAAAATCTGATGTGCACACCACATGACTTCCTTGTACGGAATATTAAATTATACGCATTTTTTCTTGCATTTCATTTAAACTTATTGGATTGAATTAAATCTACTTCGCCGACAGCGCATAAAACACAATAGAATAAATGCATTCTTTAAAATTCACTGTAGTATTTGTTTACCATAGCGACATCCTGGCGCTAGATTCACTTAACAGTATTATATTTCGTTCATATTATAATTCATAATGCACAAAATTTATATCATTTAAATAATAGAATTATCTAATGGTTGCCACATGTTCTATTCAAATACTATAATAAAGCTAGAACGATGTATAAAAGAAATTAAGCAAACAAAACAAAAAGGAACAGTTTTTCACAGACGATTGAGTATTTCTCATTCAATTAATTCAGTTCTCACTTCGCGATAAGGCAAAAATACATAAAAACTCAAAATATCTATATTAAAAAATTAGGAAGTAAATCTTAAACACTTATTTCCTCGAAAAAAATTCCAGAAAGGATTTAATTGGCAATAATAAATGAAGGCGTTATCTTTGTTGTTGCGAAGCGAAGTTTCTCTAGATTGGCAACAAATCTACTAGTCTGCTGTTTCAAATGTAAACAATCAATGGCCGCCGTAAAAAAAAAAAGGGCTTAGCGGCACTTAAACAACTTTAAAATTGTTGATAATTCTAAAAATATTGCACACAGATTTACTAAAGGCATAAAAACCTTAACCGGAAGATAAAAACAACATAATTCAATCATTTTTAAAGCAAAAAAATGTACAATTTACAAACATATAAGAGTAAAGAAACTGAGATCACTGAGCCGGGTAACAGAGTGGATATATATAATAAATATATTTATATACGTTTGGTGCGGCCGATTGCAACCAAAATACGAGGTGCACATCTACATGTTATAGCAGTCCTATATACAAAGTTTCAACGTTCTGAGGCTACTCGTTTTTGAGTTATGGGAGATACGTACGTACGTACATACGTTCGTACAAACGCCACGAAAAATTCTCTTCAGAATTCATTTTAAAGCAGTTACATATTTTTTTTTTTTTTTTTTTTTTTTTTTTTTTTTTTTGAGGAAACGAGTCTTTTATTCTGTCCTTACGTACAGATATCACGCAAAAACATCGTTCAATTGCATTCAATAGCGGTCAAAATGGATATTTTCATTGAAATTGTTGCCCGAAACTTTTCGCGATTACAATACTTCCTTTTACTTCGTACAAGGAAGTAATGTCTAAGTAGTGAGCAGAAATAGCAAAATTGCATAAATAGATAGTTTGATGCAAGCTAGAAGGAGCCACATTAGCTCGAGAAGTTTAGGGATAGGAAAAATCAAGTAAATCAAGTTTTGATTTTTTGTAAGTATTTTTTTTTTTTTTTTTTTTTGTTGTTTGTTTGTTTGTTTTCGTTTTGTTTTAAATTGTTTTGTATTTTTTAGTTTTTTGGTATTTTTATATTTTTATAACATAACACTATAGCAACACTATAGCAAAAAGCGGATAGGAAAGATTTTACAGATCAATAGGCTCAATGGCATATGGCACTAATCATAGTGACTACATCCTGAGTCACTATGATTAGTGACTGAATGTAAAAGTCTTTACATCGACGAGTGAATTAATAAAAGTGAGGTGGATTATAACTTGTTACCACTTCGACTAGGTCTGAAGCCTTTTCCCAGTCTCCATTTTAGTGGGTGAGCGAAAGAAATTATCGCATTGCTCTCGCGGTGTAAGTGATTGCTTGACTCGTACAACCAACTAACTGAAGAATCTGATTTCAATCACTAAAACAGCTTATTTTTCACGTATTCTGTTTCGAAATACCGGTTAGTCTCTAAAATCTCATCCTCTTTGAATTCCTTTTAGTTTTCAGAGCAGACATTAAAGACTTGTTCGGCTAAAGTAAATCATCATACTAAGAAGCTATTACCAATACAAAAGGCATAAAATCTTACTTCCATCTTCAGATCAGTGATTTTTAGTGAAGTAGAATGAACAATTAAAGAAGAGCACCTTTCTAAGAAACATTTAAAAAAATTTTTGTCGGTGGTTTTTTAATGGATTAGTTATTGGCTTAAGCCTATCTTCTATGTAGCAATTTTACTATTGTACAGATTTTCTTTGTAACTCTCTTACATGTACATTATCACTAGCATTAAAATAAACCTTAACAGTATATAAAATTCTACAGACTGCAATATTCTACAATTTTATTTATTTTTAAATTTCTAGTTAAATGTCTTTCATTAGACACCAATAGTCAGCATTATTTTATTTAAATATAAGAAAGGAAATATTAGTATAGTTATTTCTTGGCGATTTGTATTTCATAGAATTAAAAATTTGTACAGTTTTGGTTCAACTTATAATACATATAAAATACGAGCTATACGAATTGATATTTCGTATTACTCTTTTAAATAATTCAATTTTAGATTTTTGATGGACTCTTAAGTTTTTCTTTTTAAAGATGCTAATTTTTTAATAAATCTAAAATATGAAACTGCAATCTGAAGAATGAATTGTATTGGTATCTTAAAGTACTGTAGAGACATTAGGTTGCTTTGAAGCAAGAGACATGAAAAAATGACCGATGCCCTCGCCATGACTCGAACCTGGACCTCTAGAATACGCGCCGAGTGTGCTAACCGTTACACCACGAAGGCGTGTTGGAAGGAAGGAGAAAATACCGTACATACTCCTAGTTTTTGATTTGAAAATGCTCTGAAATTTTAAAGTTTTAAAATTTTTCTTATATTCTGTTCTTAATGGAGTAATTACAAAGTTTTAATATGAACATGGCAATCTTAAATTTTTTCCAGTTTTGTTATTGG